TTAGCATCCATTAGCATTTTGCTTAGGGAAGCTGCGAGTGTAGCAGCTGATCAGAGCTCTGTCTGATTATGTCCAGTATATAAGACCAGCCATTAAACGGGCACTAAATAGATAATGAACAGACGGTGTTTAATAAAAAGTCTTTGATAAGGTTTTGGATGCAATAAAAACAGCTGAAGTCCTAACCTCAAGTGAACTTCAGTGAGCGTTGTGTTATTTCAGCACTCGAATTTTTGCTGTAAATGTTGAAAACCTTTTTTACCAGTTCTTGGTGTTTTCACCCTTTTCATGCATGAAAAGATTAAAGGTGAAATCTGGCCAAAGTTAAACATTTTACCAGCACTACATCTGTAAACATGCCCACTCAAACCTTACAGCGGCGCCACAATGATCTCTGGAGTGGGATTTTCTGGTGTAGAGACTAAAAACTCTCTTCTGATGATGTGTCTTAAACGTGGGAGGAACTGTTGCTTTGGGGTGGAGACTTGAGGGTAGATCTGTCTGTCTATCTGTCTGTCTATCTATTTATCTGTCTATCTATCTATTTATCTGTCTGTCTGTCTGTCTGTCTGTCTGTCTGTCTGTCTGTCTGTCCGTCCACCTATCCATCCATCCATCCATCCATCCATCCATCCATCCATCACTGGCCATTGCAGAAGGAAGCCAAATAGCTAATCCCTGGGGAACAGGATTCCTGATGGTTGTATATTGTATTTGTGTAGTGCATGCTGGGTATTGTAGTGAGAGAAACTGATGGACAAAAACACAAAAAGGACACAAAATCTTGAATTCTGTCAAACCAATCAGGCTAATAGATGCTGCGCTACTGAACATTGTAAAACACAGGTTCTCTATGCTGGTCCTGGAGCCCCCCCCCCCGCACTTTAGAGGTTTCCCAGCTCCCTACACTCCCACTGCAAGTCATTAAGGGCTTCTTAATGAGCTAATTAGTTTGATCAGGTGTGTTGGGAGCAGGGAAACACTAAAATGTACAGTACAGGGGGATCTCCAGGATCAGTGTTTGGAAACATTGTTATAAAACATGACAAATAACATATTTAAAGCTGCTTTTATGCAGCTTTTATTACTAACAATTACTGGAGAAGTGCTTCACATTTATGACCAAAATTTGCTAAAATGCCTTTTGACATAACATCTGCAGCTCTAATATCCACTGTGTCAGCGCACTTTTAAAGGCTAGTCCTGAATGTATAATGAAACGATCGTTTGATTTAAAAACTTGCTTCTTTCCTTGTTTCGATCAGTATAATCATACAGTCCACTATGGAAACTAGCCAAGCTCCACTGTCTGTCAGTTCCTTGGCTTTCTTTCAAGGAATTTTTTTCATGGAATTGAAAAAAGGCAGGAATACCACTGCCATACCATTAAAAGTGCTTGTGCAAGACCTCTAACATTATATTCACTTAATAATGAGTAAGCAGCTAAATAATGGCAGATATTTGTGTATAATGTGTATGATAGTTTTGTCTGATTTAGTGACATCAAGGCTGTTTAATGAATGCTCTATGCAGGGCTTAAAGCTCAATGCACTTGTTTAAAATTATTGGTTACTGATATTCATATCAACTATAATAAGATGTTAATTGTTTAGCGTTATCAGCCCAGAAATGATATATCGGTGCATCCCTATAACGAACGCCAACATACAACCAAATGGCCAAAATGCTGCCTTGCTGTTTCCACTACAGAGACCTTTTTCCTCCTGTACAAGGCTGTATTCTGACCCTCTGTATGTTCTTAATCTCTCGGTAGACACATAAAGGGAATTAGAGGCACTTCGCCAGAGTCCAACACTGTAAAAAATTGTAGTGCATGATTACAGTCATTTTCTGGCAGCAGTTTCTCCAGCTTGAGAACCCACAGCTGTCGAACACCTTCAGTTTTGTTACATTATGTAGTACAACGTGTAACATATGCAAACAGGGCAAATCTATCTAGGTAGGCTTTGATAGCAAATACTAAAAGGTTCATGCAGACTTTTACATGGTTATAATAAACACGCTATCTTCACAACAGCATAGAACTGAGTGTCAATCAGACCATAAACTGGATGTCACATTACAGCAGTTATTAACACTGCAAATATCTATTATTATAACACTATAAGATGAACTAGTTAACTGGAGCACAAACACCATCTTGGCTGGAAAACATAAATACGGGTCATTCTACAGGAACGTCCACTTTTCTGTCTCCCCATAGGAGTCACTGGTGTTACTGATCCTCATTGGTGTTACACATAATAAAGGAACACCAGAGACATTTTAATGAAGAATACATTTTACAGAATGTTTGCTGCAGAGCATCAAACCACATGTTGTCAATCATGGAATATCCACTAAAATATGGAATTTAATCCATTTGTATTCTATTTTTTTCACAGTTACCTCAGAATAAAGTCGGTCACACCAGTGACTTCAGCTAAAAGCTTCATATGAAATCATGAGCTAAATGAGAAAATCTCTGATAACTGAAAGACACAGTGGACTCACCATGTGCTTTTCTTCATAGATCCTCAGAGAACAGGTAAAGGAAGTCGAGTGATGTCATCAGTGTGACTTTTATTTCAAAATAAGAGATTTTTTGTTACGCAGTAACACCAGTGACTCGACTCCTGGGGATAACTTTCATTATATTTTATAATATTTATTTGGCATCTGTTTTCTTTGTCATTTAATTTATAATATATTTCATAGTCATGTATAGATTATTGCAGTTAAAGGACGAGCTCTTCTGTGGTGCTTGGAATTCTAGATAACTGATTTAAAAACCAAGTTTGCTAAATTGAGGCTCAAGAAGGTGTAATTGTTAAAATAACTTGTAATAAACTGTAACCCTCACAAGTTTTTGAAGTGTAATATATTTGTAAACGCCAGGGACACAAAAATGGACGTTTCTGTAGAATGACCCATATGTAAAATCCATGATCTGTAGAAGAAACAATAAAAAGCAAATGAATAAGCTCCACTCCATCACTACAATACTCAGAGACAAGCTGCTTAAGACGGCACATCTCCCAGTGTGCTTTGCAAATAGCAGCTAATTATTGTAAGATCCAACATTCTTCTTTAACAAGGAGCTTGTCTTCAATGCTGTTCAACGAGCTGCTGTGTTTAAGGAATACAGTACTTTACTGTAAAGTGTCTGTAAATTTACACCACTTTAAATATCACTAGAACATAATTTGTAATTCTGTGAATCTGTGAAAGACTAATTCAGGTTTCAGATGAAAGCGCTGTTTGAGATGTGGGCTTTAATGCGGACTGAGCTGCGCTGATGTGAAGTGGATGTAAATAAAATCCCTTCATTCTCTCTGTACCATGAGGCTGAGCTGCTGCAGTGCTGGTCAGACGCAGTCACCACGTCCTCTCGCCGACTCCGCTCCCCTTTCTCTACCAGCTGATAATGGTTTCAGACACTGACGCTGTCCGATCCTCACAGACACACATCCTCTAATGCGCTCTAATGAAGCCTCTCCTCTCTCTAATTTTACTGCCAGTCATTTTTATTCTTCTCCTAAAGCGCGTTATAATAACGTTTCTCTCTCTGGTTCCTCCTCCTTTACAGCCAAATACGGTTTAAACGCTAATTATAATACGAACATTATTACGTTCGTTATTATTAACCTGCTATGAGCATTTATTGATTACTGGTTATCAGATTATGAAGAGAAACGGCTCTGATCTTCAGACACGCAGTCAGGTTAGTTCACTGCGTACCAGCAGGGCTTTATCTGCTGTATATGAGGGATCTGTCCGTGGTGCTGAAGTCTGTAAGTCTCAGCAAATCTCAGGGTTCTGTTTAGTACTGAAAAAGGGTTCTTTGACTCGCACCAATGTGGTGTATATAGAACCATTTAAAGGAGTATTTAAATGGGGTTCTTTAAAGAGCCACATATTGATTTTACCACCACAGAGAACAACAACAATGTAACAGTCAAATGGTTTGAGTGTTCGTTATTCTATACAGAACCGTTCTCTTTATTAACGAACCCTGGGAGAACCTTGTTTAAGAGCTCCAGTGAGAAAGCCTGTGCTCTGTATTTGGGGACTCCATCCGCAGAGAATTCACACGAAACCACCACTCGTTTATTTACTATTCGTTTAGGTTATGTATATGTAAACTGTCCGCACGCGCACTGGGTGTTTTATTGTCCGTGTTGATGGTCGAGTTTTATTTCCAGACTTCAGAAAAAAACCTCTTAGCTTTTCTTCTCCTCTTTTACAAAAATATAACAGCTAAACTATCATTTCGTTTGAGGAGGAAACCAGTGGAATCAGCTGCTCTGCGCAGGGTTGGTCTGAGGGACAGTGCGGGTCCAGCGCGGGTCCACAGCGGCTCCTCTGCTCGGCTCTCTCGGCCTCTCGCTCCTCGGTCTCCGGGGTCATTCGTCAAGCGCTGTCCAAAATCAAGTGAGGCATGGAAATGAATTTGCTCGTTCACACGCGGCTCAGCGCACACACCTCGCGCTTAATGGCTCCACGGAGCAACGAAGAGACCCCCACTGCACCTGTTTAACTCACTGCGGTCCGCCCAGCCCCCGGCAGCGCGCGGACCTGCCTGAGCCGGAAAAACACAGAAACAGACCGAGATCTGAGTCTGAGATCTGAGTCCGAGTCTGAGTTAACGACTCCTACAGCACTGCGGGCTCCAAACCCCAGCGATCTGTGATCAGAACACATCCGGAACACCAGACCCGCTTTATCTGAGCTCCGGGACACAACCATCAGAGCTGATTCAGAAGCAGCAGAATTGGATTAAAAGAACACATAATAATATTAATACTAATACTAATACTACTACTACTACTAATAATAATAATAATAATAGTAATAATAATATAATGACCAATATTATTAAATAAAACTGTAGAATAAATATATAAAAATGTAAACATATTTGCTGCCTCTGCTGCTCTAATTTGCGGACACTGGAGCTCAAACGCGAACAAAATCAGCACAAACCCAGCTGTGTTTACCTGTTCAGTTTGAAGGAGTACATTTTGGCGCCTTTTTCGTTAATAAGATGAGATTTCTCTGAATTCGGCGGCGGGTCCATCTCCTCCTCCTGCTCCAGGTGTCTTGGTGTCCCGGTGGTGTGGACTCGCACGAGCAAAAGATTTTTAAAAAAATGATGAATAGATAAATAAATTCAGGCGAACAGTAAAAAAAATCAGAAACGCCGCGATTTAAATCACAAAACGGCGAATCTCCGGGTCCATTTCAGTTCAGACACCAGCTGAGTTAAATCACATCCCTTCATGGCACCGAGAGAGAGCGGCGCGTGGAGTCCTGTGTGTGTGTGGAGAGAGAGAGACTGAGAGAGGTTTGGTGGTGAAGACGTGAGCACTGTTCACTCCTGTTCACTCTCTCTCTCTCTCACTCTACACTGTCTGAAATAAAGGTTCTGTTCAGGTACATTTTCCATTCATCAAGGTACAAACAGTGTAAATGTTCCCTCAAAGCTCCAACAGTGGTTCTAAGGTCTGATTGTGAACCTTAAATCAGTTTTTCCAGGTGAAAAGTTCGTATTTGTACCTTTTCATAACCGAATGTTTTAAACAGAACAGTAAAATAAAAGCCTGGAGACGAGACGGGGTGTGTGGAGTCAGTACAGCTTAGAACATATCATTTCAGTGGATTATGGTTCAGTTATGTTCCCTGACTAAAGGTACTGAGATGGACCCTCGAGGGTTCCACCCCAGTGACAAGAGGGGTACTGACCCATAGTTACGCACGTCACTTATTGCCAGAGACATTCTTTCACAACAGCTTTTTAAATAGTTTTTGGCTCAAAACGTGAAAAGCAATTCATGTCATAGAGGTGTCGCATGTTCAAAGGTGTTGTAAGACAAAATAGTCCCCAAAGAAACATATAAATAACAAATATATATATATATATATATATATATATATATGAATGATATATTTTATTATTTATGTTTATTTACATATAAATAATAAACACATAAAGCGCCTAGACCTTTACTTCACATTTATCACTATTATACCTTTATCAACATATAAACACTCAAAACACGTGAGTTATAGTCGTTTGAAATAGTAAATAAAATAGATATATTTCGATATATTTGCATTATTGACATTCTAAACCTGAATTCCTCTCACCGCTGTAAAGAAACCTGAGCTGATAAGTTTTTTTCCACAGTTAATTATTTCACATCACAACACTTTGAATAACATCTTAATTATGGAATTATTCAGAAAATTTGGAAAAATCAGTGGCATTCCCCTTTAAATCAGCCCCCCTTAAAGTCCTGGATTTTGTGATCACTGTGGTTAATTGAACTGTATTGAAAGTGTCGAACCACATCACAGTGTCAGAGTTCTAGATAACCAGAGGGTGGAAAACCTGACCTGCCTGACCTTCAACAGTTGTGATCTGAAAATGTTTTATGACCTAAATTACAACCGGGCTGCGTCCAAAACCACATACTGTACCACACACTGATATTTCAGCAGTAGAACACAGAGGGAGTGTGTTATCGTGAAATAACATCACTGTGATTTGGTCGCCGTAGATCATCACAGCCGTGATGTTATTGGCGATAACACACTCCTCGAGTGTTCTACTGCTTTAATACAACAGTTAAATAAATACAGTAATAAATTAATAAACTGGGCCGTGAACGCGGCGTTTAATATGTTTTAATGTTCGCAGTTCCTTCACCAAATTATAGTTCCTTAATGAGCAGCTTGTTGCTACGTCAGAGTATCGAGCTCCGCCCACTCGCTGCACAGCCGGCAGTTCGTTCTCCAGCTCCTTACACTAAATTCCCAAACTGTCATCACCACTGAGCAGCTTTTCAGTCGGCAGCTGTGACAGAAGAACAGCTAAACAACCTGGAATCAGCCAGAAATGAACCCAACACCATTCGCCAAACGTGGAGTCTGATCTTCAGAGTCTGACCAAATCAGACTGAGCATTAAAACCGCTGCAATATCAAGTTCAGCTCAGTTTTGTCAGTTTTTGCCAGATCAGTATTAATGTTGTTTTGTTCCAGCCAGTCTGTAAAGCATCTTACAGCCCATTTAGTTTGGCGAATTTAAAAACTCGGAGTTAAAGAGAATATCGGACTGAAATCAAACTCATCTGTAAACAGAGTCTAGAAAGGAGTTACAGTCGTCTCTGTTTGTATTTTGGAACAGGCGCTCCAGGATTTCGCAGTGTGTTCTGTTTTTATACGGTCTGATTAATAAAGCCGAATCCTGCATGAGCGGAAAACCAGACGAGCCAGACTTTTGTTCCTCTTCTGTAGAAACACTCGGTCAGAATCAGACTCGAGCGGGGTTTGGATCTCTGCGTGCCGGTGACGGGCGGAAGTGGTCGCTCTTGTGGCAGCAGGAGCGGCCACTTTTATTAGCGGACGCCACTGACCAGCCACATCGCGGCCACTTTTATTAGCGGTCGCCATTGACCAGCCACATCGCGGCCACTTTTATTAGCGGTCACCACATCGCGGCCACTTCACAGCCACTTTTATTAGCGGTCGCCATTGACCAGCCACATCGAGGCCACTTTTATTAGCGGTCACCAGTGACCAGCCACATTGCGGCCACTTTTATTAGGGGTCGCCATTGACCAGCCACATCGTGGCCACTTTTATTAGGGGTCGCCACATCGTAGCCACTTCACAGCCACTTTTATTAGCAGTCACCATTGACCAGACACATTGCGGCCACTTTTATTAGCGGACGCCATTGACCAGCCACATCGCGGCCACTTTTATTAGCGGTCGCCAGTGACCAGCCACATCACGGCCACTTTTATTAGCGGACGCCATTGACCAGCCACATCACAGCCACTTTTATTAGCGCTCGCCATTGACCAGCCACATCGCGGCCACTTTTATTAGCGGTCGCCATTGACCAGCCACATCACGGCCACTTTTATTAGCGCTCGCCATTGACCAGCCACATCACGGCCACTTTTATTAGCGCTCGCCATTGACCAGCCACATAGCGGCCACTTTTATTAGCGGTCGCCATTGACCAGCCACATCGCGGCCACTTTTATTAGCGGTCGCCATTGACCAGCCACATCGCGGCCACTTTTATTAGCAGTCGCCATTGACCAGCCACATCACGGCCACTTTTATTAGCGCTCGCCATTGACCAGCCACATAGCGGCCACTTTTATTAGCGGTCGCCATTGACCAGACACATCGCGGCCACTTTTATTAGCGGTCGCCATTGACCAGCCACATCACGGCCACTTTTATTAGCGGTCGCCATTGACCAGCCACATCACAGCCACTTTTATTAGCGCTCGCCATTGACCAGCCACATAGCGGCCACTTTTATTAGCGGTCGCCATTGACCAGACACATCGCGGCCACTTTTATTAGCGGTCGCCATTGACCAGCCACATCGTGGCCACTTTTATTAGCGGACGCCATTGACCAGCCACATCGCGGCCACTTTTATTAGCGGTCGCCATTGACCAGCCACATCGCGGCCGCTTTTATTAGCGGACGCCATTGACCAGCCACATCGCGGCCACTTTTATTAGCAGTCGCCACATCGCAGCCACTTCACAGCCACTTTTATTAGCGGACGCCATTGACCAGCCACATCACGGCCACTTTTATTAGGGGACGCCATTGACGCCATATGCGGACGGCACATTTCATGGTAGCTGTCAGGCCATCTGTACAGCTACGATGAGGAGTCACATGAGCCACCACTATCCAAAGGGATTTGCCGTGGGCTGTAGGTTTGTAGCACTTAGTGTTCGGGGATTAGGAGATCAGGAATTACTGGAACCACTACATTCATTAATAAGTTGCATCCTACAAGCACTGCAGGCTGTAACTTTTTTACGAAGTAAAAATAGGAAAATCTCTAGTAAATAGTAACTCATCACACGCGTTTATATAGCTTCACTAAAACGCTGTGTAGTTATGTTAGCCTGTAAAGTCAGAAGCCTCATTCTCAAAGGCTGAGACTGAGAATGAAGTGAGAGATTTAAAGGCATGAAAAAATACACAATACCTGTAAAAAGACATCGTAAAGAAATGTTGAATTTGAGTTATAGTTCTCAAATATTAAATGTTAAATGAAATAGTAATTATTAACTATATACAATTGTATTTAGTTATTGCCAAATGAATCAATCCAAAGTCATAAACAAGAAAAAAAGTAAAAAAATTCAAAAAGTAAAACAGATCATAGATCAAACATGATATAATTCGTGTTCTTTATTTAATTGACACTAACAAACATAATTTAATATAAGTGTTAAATATTTGTAAACATTATGTCTTAATAATGTTGATGTTCATGGTTTATTGATGTTAATAAATGTAGTAATTAATTTTCGCCAAAGTATTACCAAAACAATTACAGCAAAAGAAGAAAGAAAGTAGGAAAGGAAATGTAAAAAAAAAACGTGAACTCAATTTATAAGACAGGGACCGCAAACATCTAGAGGATGAAATGTTCATTACACTATGAAATATTTACTGTTGTAATTTCTACAATAAAACTAAGCTGCTTCCCCTATTACTTACCTACACATTTGAAGTTTGTCCTTTATTATTATTTAAATACAAAATATCCATTGATCTGCAATAAGCATACAAAACAGAATATCAATACAATGTTTAATTATCTTTGCCTATCAAGTTTAACTAAATATGTGGTCTAGTTCAGCACCTTAAACAGAGTGAGTGTTAAACAGAAACAGACATCAGCCAATCAGGGAGTTACAGCAATATTAAGATTAGTCTTCCATCAGGAGAATATATGTATATGTATATATAATCAAATATATTTCTGAAATATATTTTTGCAATATATGAAAATGGCCAAAAACGTTTTTCTTAAATATATATTTAAAATGCATTTATTTGTATTTGTTATTGTATTTTTCAATTGTATGTAATTTTAATAAAGCTTAAAGATGTAACTAAATATACATGAACTGAATGAACGGTACTGACTGCTGTGTTTTGCATTGTACTTTGCATTTAGACATTCACACAAAATGTATGTCAGATAAACAACATATCAAATCGTCAAACTACATTTTCACAGTGTATCAATATCTACAACACTGTCTTTTGTCCAGTTAAAGGTCCATTTACTAACATTTACAATTAAGATACTGGAGTACAAATTCACTTCAAAAGGCGGTGTCTAATAATAGCCACTTTGGCCCGTCACCCGGCACACAGGGATCCAACTCCTACTGCTGTAGGTGGATAATGTTTTCATGTTTTTGTTCAGTAGTGTTCACTACAATACCCAGCATGCAGTATGCAAAACACATCATATCAGAAATGGGAATCTCTGTGGTGTCAATCACAAAGTCAGTCCAGTCTGTTAGCCTAGCCGCTCATCTGTAAGCTAAAAATACAAGCTAGCATTAGCACAGCTTTTACCTCGGTCAGTGAATAGAGTCATAAAGAAAACCGAGATTCTTCAATGTTTTCACTCTTTCAGCCAAGGAAGCCAAACTGATGTAAGGTATCTTGTTTGCTTGGTAGCTACTTGGCTAACTTTAGCTTTTACGTGTTGTCTTCCTCATCTGATGAAGAACTACTGTTGTTTAAGTGACCCATTCTCTCTGCTGCTGGACCTGGATAACTACCTCTGTGGACACAGGCTGCTCCCTCTCACATCTGAATGCAAAACGAAACTACTACGCTTTAATTCAGCATGACAGTCTCAAACTGATAAACACACACCGGTCAGGCATAACATCATGACCACCTCCTTGTTTCTACGCTCATTGTCCATTTTATCAGCTCCGCTTACTATATAGGTGCACTTTGTAGTTCCACAGTTACAGACTGTAGTCCATCTGTTTCTCTGATACTTTGTTAGCCCCCTTTTACCCTGTTCTTCAGTGGTCAGGACCCCCATGGACCCTCACAGAGCAGGTACTATTTGGGTGGTGGATCATTCTCAGCACTGCAGTAACACTGACGTGGTGGTGGTGTGTTAGTGTGTGTTGTGCTGGTCTGAGTGGATCAGACACAGCAGTGCTGCTGGAGTTTTAAACACCTCAGTGTCACTGCTGGACTGAGAATCGTCCACCAACCAAAAATATTCAGCCAACAGCGTCCTGTGGGCAGCGTCCTGTGACCACTGATGAAGGACTAGAGGATGACCAGCACAAACTGTGCAGCAGCAGATGAGCTATCGTCTCTGACTTTACATCTACAAGGTGGACTGACAAGGTAGGAGTGTCTAATAGAGTGGACAGTGAGTGGACACAGTGTTTAAAAACTCCAGCAGCACTGCTGTGTCTGATCCACTCGCACCAGCACAACACACACTAAAGTAAGTGGAGCTGATAAAATGGACCCTGAGTGTAGAAACATAATGCTGTGCCTGGTTGGTGTATAAAGTCACTGCAGAGGTGACTTTGAACATCTCCGGGTTTTTGTAGCAGGTTTGTGAGTCGAGGTTTGGAACTAAAGCCGTGTTTTTCTCTGTGATCCAGACTGATTCGATTTTTTTTTCAGAAATGTTGAGGCGCTGGAGTGCACGTAACAGATGACGTAACACAATCCCGCGCATGCGCAGACGCGCGGAGCGAGATGAAAACATGGAAGTGACAATGAAGCAAGCGGAGGTCCAGAAAGACCGAAAGGAGGACCGGGAGGAGGAGGAAGATCGGCCCATGTCCAGATCTGACAGGTAACGCGTCGCTGCGCGGCGGTCCAGCTGCTCAGATGTTTAAACCGAGAGCTGTGCTGGTGAAATACCGCAACCACAGACTGACCGCCCAGCGTGGCGGCGCGAGCTGGCTAACGGACAGCTAACCTAGCTAGCTCAACGTTACTTAGCTCCAAAATGTCTGTTAGAGTGTTATAGAGTATTAATACATCAGGGTTTACATCCGGGACTTAAACTGGGTCTGTGTGGAAACTATCACTACTGAATAACAGACAGATAGACTTAAACTTCAGAAGCGTCAGTTATTTATTCTGTAAAACCGCTTTGAGTGACGCGACCGTTCCAGGTTATCTAACGTTACTGTACAACCTGTCTTAGCCATGGTCACAGCATCGGGGAGAGGGAGGGAGAGAGAGATAGAGGGGGGGAGAGAGAGAGGAGAGAGAGATAGAGAGGGGAAGAGGGAGAGAGATAGAGCGAGAAAACGAGGGAGAGAGAACGGGAGATAGAGAGAGAGATAGAGGGAGAGAGAACAGGAGATATATCTATATCTACATATAGAGGGAGAGAGAGAGATAGAGGGAGAGAGAAAAGGAGATATATCTACATATAGAGGGAGAGAGAGAGATAGAGGGAGAGAGAAAAGGAGATATATCTACATATAGAGGGAGAGAGAGAGATAGAGGGAGAGAGAACAGGAGATATATCTATATCTACATATAGAGGGAGAGAGAGAGATAGAGGGAGAGAGAAAAGGAGATATATCTACATATAGAGGGAGAGAGAGAGATAGAGGGAGAGAGAAAAGGAGATATATCTATATCTACATATAGAGGGAGGGAGAGAGATAGAGGGGGGGGGGGGGCGAGAAAACGAGGGAGAGAGAACGGGAGATAGAGAGAGAGATAGAGGGAGAGAGAACAGGAGATATATCTATATCTACATATAGAGGGAGAGAGAGAGATAGAGGGAGAGAGAAAAGGAGATATATCTACATATAGAGGGAGAGAGAGAGATAGAGGGAGAGAGAAAAGGAGATATATCTACATATAGAGGGAGAGAGAGAGATAGAGGGAGAGAGAACAGGAGATATATCTATATCTACATATAGAGGGAGAGAGAGAGATAGAGGGAGAGAGAAAAGGAGATATATCTACATATAGAGGGAGAGAGAGAGATAGAGGGAGAGAGAAAAGGAGATATATCTATATCTACATATAGAGGGAGGGAGAGAGATGGGGGGGGGCGAGAAAACGAGGGAGAGAGAACGGGAGATAGAGGGAGAGAGAACAGGAGATATATCTATATCTACATATAGAGGGAGAGAGAGAGATAGAGGGAGAGAGAAAAGGAGATATATCTATATCTACATATAGAGGGAGAGAGAGAGATAGAGGGAGAGAGAAAAGGAGATATATCTATATCTACATATAGAGGGAGGGAGAGAGATGGGGGGGGGGCGAGAAAACGAGGGAGAGAGAACGGGAGATAGAGAGAGAGATAGAGGGAGAGAGAACAGGAGATATATCTATATCTACATATAGAGGGAGAGAGAGAGATAGAGGGAGAGAGAAAAGGAGATATATCTATATCTACATATAGAGGGAGAGAGAGAGATAGAGGGAGAGAGAAAAGGAGATATATCTATATCTACATATAGAGAGAGAGATAGAGGGAGAGAGAAAAGGAGATATATCTATATCTACATATAGAGGGAGAGAGAGAGATAGAGGGAGAGAGAAAAGGAGATATATCTATATCTACATATAGAGGGAGGGAGAGAGATAGAGGGGGGGGGCGAGAAAACGAGGGAGAGAGAACGGGAGATAGAGGGAGAGAGAACAGGAGATATATCTATATCTACATGTAGAGGGAGAGAGAGAGATAGAGGGAGAGAGAAAAGGAGATATATCTATATCTACATATAGAGGGAGAGAGAGAGATAGAGGGAGAGAGAAAAGGAGATATATCTATATCTACATATAGAGGGAGGGAGAGAGATGGGGGGGGGCGAGAAAACGAGGGAGAGAGAACGGGAGATAGAGAGAGAGATAGAGGGAGAGAGAACAGGAGATATATCTATATCTACATATAGAGGGAGGGAGAGAGATAGAGGGGGGGGCGAGAAAACGAGGGAGAGAGAACGGGAGATAGAGGGAGAGAGAACAGGAGATATATCTATATCTACATATAGAGGGAGAGAGAGAGATAGAGGGAGAGAGAAAAGGAGATATATCTATATCTACATATAGAGGAAGAGAGAGAGATAGAGGGAGAGAGAAAAGGAGATATATCTATATCTACATATAGAGGGAGAGAGAGAGATAGAGGGAGAGAGAAAAGGAGATATATCTATATCTACATATATAGGGAGAGAGAGAGAGAGAGGGAGAAAAGCTGAATGGGTTGCTTTGATAGTCAGTATTGTTGCATTGCTAAAAATACTAACAGAGCCGATTTAAATGGTTTTACAACCCAGAATCGGACCGAGCTGGTTGGTGTAGGAAAGCTAAGCCAGCGCGGTCACTTTGTACGAAATAGCGAGAAGCTGAATAAACGCAGATCCTATCAGTGCTGTTTAAGTCTGTTAAATGAACTTTATGCTTTAATGTTCCCTCTTTTCGCTCAACAGCCTGTCAAAACGGGAAAGAGCTGCGTGGCAGGCTGTTTTGGAAGCTAGCTGACCAGCTAACATGGCTAAGTTACCTCAGACGGTCAGTTCACCTGAAACATTATGGGCTGGTTGCTTGGTTGTGTGAGTTAAACCAGGTGCTGGTATTGGACTGTTTATTAACTTTAGAGTTAAGTGGGAGTTCTGGAGTGTAATATTGTGGCGTCCCGCCACTTGCCCAGCTGCCGCGGGCGCGCGAGACAAACCGTGTGTGGTCAGTTTTACATTATTGATTAGTAGTTTTAAACGTCGGTGCCGTTTCCGGGACCGCGGGCCTTTTGTGGCCGTCAGTGCAGCCGAGTGAAGATTAAATTACAGCAAGAGCAGCAACGCTACAATCATGAGAGCATCAGCAGAGAACCTGGCTTCATAATGACTCCTTGAAAAAGCCCAGAGAAATCTGTCCATGAAGTGGAGCCGGATGATGAACTGCCAGTTGAACATCACTGTTGGCTCCCAGTAGACTTGCTTTAACTGGTTTTCATCTATATATTCTCTTTATAACTGGATTCCACCCTCACTAAGAGGCTGAGCAGGTAGCAGAGAGCTGAGCAGGTAGCAGAGAGCTGAACAGGTATCAGGCTAATGCTGCAGTAATAAAATACACACTTTATGTTCAAACCTTTAAATAAAGTGTTACTTAAAAACTGAGCCATGCAAAATAACAAATTTTACGTAACAAATTTTACAAATTTTAAGTAACGAAGAATGTTACTTAAATGCCTGTTAGGAGCTTAAAGCTGCCTTAAAAATCCCATATAACTGTAATGGCACTGCTTTATTATGTAACAGCAGCTGTAAACAATGCAGTACAGAAACAGTGAAGTGCTCATCTAAATTGAATCTTGCATTAAATTTCAGTTTCATTGGTCGCTGTTTGCTGTTGCGTTAAGGCCGCCGTTTTCTGCCCGTATCCAACTCTCAGTGTGAACACAATTAAAAGGTTTGAATGGAAGACTTTATTAGTGTGACTGATGGGTGAAGACTCTAAATTGGATCCTCTGAGTAAAGCGTTTCTCCAGCAGGTTCAGGTTTCAGTACACTGATTGATTTCAAACATCGGCACTCGGGCATTCAAACAGCATCACAACAATAAAGGTCATTTATATTTTTAAACTCCTCATTTCTGCCATGTTAGGATGTTATAGCATTTAATATATTTTGCATATGATATAAAATGTTTACAATTCGCCAGAGATTCTGTCCATAAATCACTTGGAGCATCATGGTGTGCAGGAATAAGGTGGATATTGTTTTCATGTTCTTGTTCAGTTGTAGGTATGGTGTGTTTACAATACTCAGCATGCAGGTATGTAAACACATCATATCAGAGATGGGAATCCCTGTGGTGTCAACAGCTTAGTCAGTTCTGACTGTTAGCGGCTGATCTATAGGCTAAAAATACAAGCTAGCATTAGTACAGCTCTTACCCCGATCGTGGAATGAAGTCATAGAGAAAGCAGTGATTCTGTGTTTTTACCCTTTCAGTCAGAGAAAAGAAGCCAAACTGATGTAGGGTATCTTGTTTGTTAGGTACCTGATCAACATTAGCTTTTAGCTCGTTGTCTTCCTCATCTGATGAAGAACTACTGTTGTTTAAGTGACCCATTCTCTCTGTTGTAATGATGCGTTGAGGACATTTACCACAGTTACATGGCTGTAAGGAGGACACTTTTCTCACTAGCATTGATCTTAGCTCACATATTTCATTCTGCATTGATAACTAGTGGAGAAAAAAGCTTTGCCCCCCACAAATCTACCCTAAAAAAATAAATCTGCTTTCAAGGTTCATCATGAGGGGCTTTCCTAGTGTTTAAACCTGAACATTCACTCTAGAGACGACTGCGTCACCATTATAGACGTGAGTAAACATGTTTACCACAGATGTTGTGATAGTCACGTATTTCATGTTTATCAGATTGGCCCTTTAACCTGGCTCTGGGAAACCGTATGAAACTTTAAAGTCCATTATTAGCTTCAGTGCTGTGAAAAAGTATTTGCCCCTCACCTGGTTTCTTATATTTTTGCTAATTTGTCACATTTTAGTGTTTTAGATCATCCAGCTAACTTTAATATAAGATAAAGACAACATGAGTAAATGAAAAATACAACCTTTAAATGATCATTCCATTTATTGAAGATAAAGATTTATTCAAAACCTAATTACCCATGTGAAAAACCAATTTCCCCCATAAACCTAATAAAAGGTGTGATAACTTGCAATGAGTCTTTTACGGTGCTGTGGAGGAATTTTGGCCTCTTTCTTGGCAGAATTGCTTTAATTTGGCTACATTACAGGGTTTTCGAGCATGAACTGAGTGTTTAAGGTCTTGCCACAACGTGTCTATGAGATTCAGGTCAGTACTTTGACTTGACCCCAATACCTTAATTTTGTTTCTTTGAGCCATTCAGAGGTGGACTTGCTTATGTGCTTCACATCACTGAACTGCTGCATAACTCAGCTGTGCTTGAGCTTTAGGTCCTGAACTGATGGGTGGGCATTCTCTTTCATGATTTTCTGATAGAGAGCAGAATTCATGGTTCCATTAATTATGACAAGTCGTCCAGGTCCTGTAGAAGCAAATCAGCCTCAGACCCTCACACTGCCACCACCATGTTTCACCGTAGGTATGATGTTCTTATGGTGGAATGCGGTGTTAGCTTTATGTCAGATGTAACTGAACCCCTGTCTTCCAAAAAGTTCCACCTTTGACTCATCAGTCCACAGAAAAGTATCCCAAAATAATGATCTTGGGGGTTGTCTAAATGTTTTTTTGCAAATGCGAGAGGAGCCTTTATGTTCTTTGTGGTCAGCAGTGGTTTGCGTCTTGCAGCTCCCCCATAAATGGTGTTTTTGACCCGTGTACTTCTTATTGTGTAAATTGACCTTAACTGAGGCAAGTAAGGTCTGTAGTTCTTTAGATGTTCATCTGGGTTCTTTTGTGAACTCCTGGATGAGTCGTTGATTCGCTCTTGGTGAAATTTATAATAGGCCGGCCACTCCTGGGAAGGTTTATCACTGTTCTGAGTTTTACCCATTTGTGGAAAATGGCTCTCACTGTGGTTCTCTGGAGTCCCAGAGCCTCAACAGTGGCTCTGTAACCCTTTCCAGATGGTAGATTTCAGTGACTTAGTTTCACAGCTGTATTTGACTCTCTTTAGAACGCAGCATCATGTGCTGCTTCACAGTGCCGTGTGAATGTTCTATTTAGGTGATGTTTAGATTCAGCAGGTCTGGCAGTGATCATGCCTGGGTGTGGTCAGTGAAATTGATCCCCATAGTCAATTGAATTTGGTTAATTGGTTGATTTAGTAGCTAAGGAGTCAATTATTTTTTCACACAGGGACAGGTAGGGCTGAGCAGCATTTTTTTTTTCTTTCAATAAAAGAAGTCATCATGTAAAAACAGCAGTTTGTATTTACATGGATTGTCTGTCTAATATTAAAAGTAGCTTGATAATCTAAAACATTCAAATGTGACAAATATGCGAAAAGTAGAAGACATTGGGAAGGGGTGAATACTTTTTCACATCTATGTACTGATTTATTATTTTTTTTTAATAAACACAGTTGGGTTGCTCCTACTTTGTGTAAAATTTTGGCAGTTTTGTGTAACAGTAGCTGTAGACAATAGTACAGAAACTAATCTAAATTGAGGAGAGTCTTGCATTAAATTTCAGTTTCATTGGTCACTGTTTGTTGCTGCGTTAAGGCCGTCGTGTCTGTGTCCATTTTCTGACCACATGATGAGAGCCTTACTCAAACGAGGCTCCAATCAAAGCTGGGCGTGTGTGGATTCCTGGAGAGGATGTGAAGGATCTTCCGTGCTCCCTCACCCACACAAACATTGAGCACCACGCGAGCAGCTCTGTCTGAGGGGATCCTGGAGACCATGGGTTCCCTCTCGCTCTCCGTGGCACATTTCTTTGAAACTTTGCTCAGACGAGGGTTGGATCAATCATGAGTTAACAAGGCATTTCTGATGGCAGTTTGGACACGATTTGTACAGTATAGTCAGATCTCAGCCTGAACCTTTCCCCCAACTTTTCATGTGATCCATGTACACCAGGGGTCGCAACCCAAAAGTTAAGAAGAGCCATTTTGTCCTTTCAAGAAAAATCAGTCCACCTTGGGAGCCACAACATTTAATGTCCATTTTACCATCTTGGCTGTAAACATGTCTCAGTATGTGCTGATATGCTAAAATATAATATAAACGAAAAAGCAGACCTACTTTGCTTTAAGCTTTAGCTGTCGCCGCTTTTCTCGCATCTTTGGCAGGAAAATGTCTCTTAACGTTAAAAAGTTGAGAATTTGAAGTCAGCCTTTCATTCGCCAGATTCTTGTTCGAATTTTCCTGTTCCACCTTAAATGGGGCTTGACGTGCCAGAATGTAACAGCTGCACCATTTAAGGTGGAACAGGAGAATTTAAACAAGAAACTGGCGAACGAGAAACTGACTTCAACTTCTCAATTTGTAGTGTTTCAGTTTCTCGTTGCAGATTAAACGTATCAGGAAACCAGCTGGAGTGATTATAAACACAACTAAGTCCATTCGTCGTTATCGATGTTCGTCTTAAATCTCCCTCTTTGCCGTTTCGTTAGCTACTAGCTAGGCGAGACTGTCGTCTGTGTTGCTATGGTGACCAGCAGTCTGCGCTGATCTTCAGGGTTGAAGGGTGAATTAGCAGTTCTACATTAACTCCAGAGTTTAAGACCATTTATTGTTAAACTGTGTTGAACGATCAGCAGAGCTTTATTTTACTGCAAAGGAGGATTATTTTATTTTTACCTACTAATCTGATTCAGCTGTGGAGCCACAGGGCAGTAAAGAGCCACATGTTGCTGATGCCTGACCTACATAAATGGAAACTGTCCTAAACATTTTTGAAATTGAGTATTTAAATATTTTTGATTTTACATATTAACAATATTGATGTTGATTAATCAATTTGTTCCGATTTATTGATCCCAAACTTACTGATGACGATGCCTAATGCTGACCACAAAAAAGGCTTTAAAATTTACACTAATTCTTGTCATTGCTCTGGTTCTTTTAAAATTGATGGCCATTAATGCTTTAGCACATTCCTGTATTAAAGGATGTCTGATATAGGCCTGTTCCTGGTGACAGTTAATCCAGTTACAGCAGTAACAGCCTCCAGTGACAGTGAAAACTCATTAACCTCCAGGGTAAAAACGTTGTTCATTTATTTATTTAGCAAGACGATAATATTCCCACATGTAAACATAACTGAACCTGCAGCTGCATGTGGAAATGAAGCTGTTTAACGTGCTCAAAAAGCAGCTCATGGTACAGTGTAGATTTTAGGACGTATTCAGGCCACAGTGTTTCAGACATTGGATAAAATGGCTCGGGGGCAAAAACACAGTCATGTCTCAGCTCTCGTGTAGCCAGGCTACGCTAAGCAGCTGTGGAAACCATGGCAGCAGAAAAGGGATTTGTGTGACATTCTGCTCTGACAGTTCTGTTCTTTCTTACTAAATTAATTACAGTGTTGTGGCCAAATTAAAGATGATAATATTACAACCACAACTTTTACTGAACTGTACTTTATGATGTTCTTTTGTTTGAGAAAGATTAAGACTCGACTCTCAAGCTATCACTTTATTTGCTCCCATATCTGCTTCAGTGTCTCAAAAATATTGTAAAAAGTGCTGCTGCAATAATGATAAAAATGGTTATTATCTATTATTATTATTAGTAGTAGTAGTAGTTGTGGTAGCAGTATCTTTAAGAACATTTGCTGTTGCTTCTGGACACAATCAGTGCTGCTGGAATCATCAGCTGATGTACGTATAATAACAATAACAGCAGCAGCAATACTTTCTTACTGTAATTTTGCAAATTAAAGCTCAATCTTTGTCAGATAAAAGCTAAGGCAAAGAAAAATGTTTCTGTTTATTATTGATTGATTGTTAATGTTATTTAGCTCAAATATTTGTAATTGTTCCATTTATATATTTATTTAGAGATGGGTAGGTAGGTAGATGTCTAGATAGATAAATAGAACTTTACTGATCCTTACATATCACTGCTATTGAAAGAAAACCTTGTATCTCCATTTTTATTGTTTTTCAGTTTTTGACTTTATTTGAACATACCTGAGCCTCTTTACATTTTGTATAAATTTCATGATGTATGGATCAAAAGAAGATGAAATGGCCAAAAATGACTTGGAAAAAAGTTTGGCTCCATTGACTTTCATTGAAAGTAAGTCAATACTGTACTTTCTACTGTAAAGTTATAATTTTGGAGATACAAGGTTTTGTTCCGACAGCAGCGATTTACCATGCAGAAAATAAGAAATAGAAATTATGATAGACATACGTTAGGCAGAAATAAATAAATAGACAAAATATAGACCCAAGTTAAAGTATAAGAGAGTAGGAATCAAAGTATATCTTCACATGTTTACATAGCATGTAAGACAGATTTGTTGTATTTACGTAAGAGCAGGTACTGAGTGGTAAGTAGCAGTTATGATATATACATATATACAGTGTGTATTAACAAGATAGGTGATACAGTGATGTGAATTCAGCACAGTAAACTGTCTGTTTTTGGTCATCGTCCACTTATTAGAGGTGTTTTTGGCCTTTGTATTGCAGTGGCAGTGGTGAGGATTCTCTTGATGGGCTTATGAGGCATAATTGCCCCCTGACCCCCTCACTGTCCCCACGCAAGCGGACCACCAGTCAGAGCAAGACAGAGCCACCTCTACTGAGGACCAATAAGAGGACAATCTACACGGCAGGGAGACCACCCTGGTACAATGTCACCGGGACCACCTTCAAAGAGGCTTTTGTCATAGGTAAGTTACTCAACCAGACTGCTAACAAAACCCTGCTGTTCTCACAGCTTATGGAACGTGTGCCATTTGACAGTGACCAGTGATCATGCCAGTGGTATTTGACAGTGGCCCGGCACTGTAGCAGACTATACTAAATGTAGATTATTTCAGGCTGTTTCATTTTCATAAACTTCATTTGTAGTTTATTTTAAAAACTATTCGAGAGAAGTCTTTCAGATTCTCGGATAACGGTCAGATAGACATTTTTCTTTAATACTACTGACTTTCTTGTTGTTGCACATTCTGATCATATCTTTGTCAACATAGACATGTTTTTACTGTTACTTCATTCACAGTTACGTTTGCAGGTCCTGCTGGGCTCATTCTGATATTATGGGCCTGGCTTCATGTGCCTAATGCCTGCAAGGGATAAGCAGCTACTAGCGATGTTTGTACTACTTTTGTTTATGTGCTACAGTGGCTGAAAGGGAAAGTCCACTGATTCCACAAATTTTCCACATAATTCAAGTGTCGATAAAGGAACCACAAGGAATTCAACAAAGTCACTCAGAGTGGCTTGAGTTGAAATGGTTCACTGTAGGGAAACCTACAGACTCTGATTTCTTTACAGTGGTGGTGATAAGAACCAGGGGACACAATGTCTACAGTGCAATATAGCCACTTTAATTTTTTCCCCCAAATCAATCAGTGAACCTACATCTGTCTTCTGTGTTTTATATTTAATGTTCATGATGGTAAAATAGTGGTAAATCTGAAAAGACAAATTTTGTTGGAGACTATTTTGCCTTACATTGCTTTGCTTATACCTCTCCGCCATTAATGTGTTTAAAAATTACATTTTTGGCCAAAACCTTCTCAGAACTCAGATCGTAAAATTTTCTATGTAGGAGCTTTTAGAGACAGACGTCTGATTCCCATCACCACCACTGTGGATAGATCTTGTTGAGTTTCTCTAGAATGGAGCATTTCACATCAGACCACTCTGAATGACTTTGTATACATCTTAATTATTTAATTATGCTATAAATATAAAAAACCCTCTTTAAATTGCTTGGTTTTCTTATTAATTTACTGTATTTGTTCATGTACTTGCACTTGACTGAAGACCAAGTCCTGAACTACAGTTGGAATGAGCAGGATCCACTGCTGCTTTGGCACATATGGTCACTTAGTTGTGATTCTAACGCCATGCAGTGGCCGAGCCCTCTTGTCATTAGTATCCTGCTACATACAATAAACCCTGCCTGACTGGTTACAATTTCACACTTGGATGTGCTCCAGTCGATTCTTCCCGTAAAACAGGTTCCTGCCTACCTGCACGTCCCTCAGCTGTGGGAAAGGGAATAAACCCTCCCGAGTGGAACCAGCTTTCTTTAACAGAGGTCATCGACATGAGGAGAGGAGAGCCGAGGACATAAAATGTGCACTAAAGCATCTTTAACTTCATTTAGGCCCAGCAGCCATTATTAACTCTGTGTTTAGTACCACTAGTGACGTTTTTCATTTTTAGCTCCGTTGCTTAGTGCTCCTCTGATACTCCTTCAGCTGATATATACGTCAAGGGGTTTCGGCTGAGAATTCAGTCTGCATGGTAGCACTTATTCTTAACTCTGGGCTGTTAGTCACTTTAATTTAAAATGTTCCTCTGTCCTGCTGTTTGCAGAGTTCAGTGGAAAGAAAAAGCAAGAAATGCGTGACGCTTCAGCTGTGCAGTTTCCTTATAGAACAGTGAGCATTTGAGCTTTCGAAAAAGAGTATTTTTCAAGATTATGTTTTGGATTTGATTGTTGTCAGTTTCTTTAAACAGCACTATGTGCGTTTATATGCACTTAACAATTCGATCATAATTGGATTTCGGCAGTTATGTGATTATTCAAGTGGTCATGTTAACAGCATACTCTGATTTTTTTTAGATTGGAGTAAGGCCTAGAAATCTGATAGAGAGCTGGATTTTAGCTCAGTAATTGGACTTCTCGGTGCATGTAAACCCTTACTCTGATTTCTTTCATTTTTATCGGTCCACACATGCCAAAATAAACCACAGTACCGGAAAAAGCAAACTGCATTTAGGACAGCACTCACGAGATGGCAACAAAACACTATCGGAGTGATGCTGAAACCAGTTACATGCCTGACAAAATGAAGCATTTAAATTTTCTTCAAGCTTGATGATATATAACCCCATTTCCAAAAAAGTTGGGATGCTGTGCAAAATGTTAATAAAAACAGTGCAATGATGTGCAAATCATTTAAACCCTAAATTTTATTGAAAATAGTACACAGACAACACATCACATGTTGAAACTGAGAAATTCTATTGCTTTTTGAAAAATATTTGCCCATTTTGAATTTGATGCCAACAACACGTTCCAAAAAAGTTGGGACGGGGGCAACAAAAGGCTGGTAAAGTTGTGTAATGCTAAGAAAAACAACTGGTGGTTGATTGACAACACGCCAGTAACATGATTAGGTATAAAAGAGCATCTCAGAGAGGCGGAGTCTTTCAGAAGTAAAGGTGAGGAGGGGTTCACCACTCTGTGAAAGACTGCACCATCAAATAGTGCAACAATTCAAGAATAACGTTTCTCAACAGAAAATAGCAAAGAACTTTTGCTTTTCATCATCTACGGTACATAATATCATTAAAAGATTCAGAGAATCTGGAGAAACCTCTGTATGTAAGGGTCAAGGCCAAAAACCAGTATTTGCTGGCCGTGATCTTTGGGCCCTCAGACAGCACTGCATTAAAAACAGACATGATTCTGTAGTGGAAATCACTGCATGGGCTCAGAAACACTTCTGAAAACCACTGTCTGTGAAAACAGTTCATCACTGCATCCATAAATGCAAGTTAAAACTCTAAAACACAAAGAAGAAACTGTACATAAACAGGTTCCAGAAACACTGCCACCTTCTCTGGGCCCGAGCTCATTTAAAATGGACTGAGAGGAAGCGGAAAAGTATCCTGTGGTCTGACGAATCAACATTTGAAATTCTTTTTGGAAATCATGGACACTGTGTCCTCCGGGATAAAGACCACTCAGCTTGTTATCAGTGCACAGTGCAAAAGCCAGTATTCATGATTGTATAGGGGGCATTAGACAATGTTAAACTACATTCTGCATGTATTACAGCAGCATTGCTCCGTATTAAGAGTCCAGGTGCTAAACTGACCTGCCTGCAGTCCAGATCTGTCACCACTGAAAACATTTGGTGCATTATGAAATGAAAAATACAACAAATGAGACCCTGAACTGATGAGCAGCTGAAATCCTGTATGAAACAAGAACAGAAAACATTTCACTTTCAGAACTACAGCAGTGTCTCCTCAGTTCCCAAACGCTTAGAGTGTTGATAAAGAAGAGGTGATGAAGCACAGTGGTAAACAGGCCCCCGTCCCAACTTTTTTGGAACGTGTTGTTGGCATCAAATTCAAAATGGGCAAATATTTTTCAAAAAAACAATAAAATTTCTCAGTTTCAACATTTGATATGTTGTCTTTGTGGTATTTTCCTTTAAAATATGGTTTATATGATTTGCAGATCATTGCATCCTTTTTTTATTTACATTCTACACAGCGTCCCAACTTTTTTAGAAATGGGGTTGCATATTCATATTTTCCGCTAAGTAAATGCATTTAATGGATTACTGACAAAATCTGATTTTCTGCAATTATCAGATCATTCATGTGTTTCTCTTTATTTGTTTCTTCAGTAATGCTTAGTGTTTCTTTGTTAACCTTTGATTATCCTGTTGATGTCTGCTGTTTAGGTGTACAATTGTGCCTGAGATGAACTTCTAAAGAAGTTATTAATGAGCATGATTAATGGTGTCTTCTGCAGGTTTGTGTGGTGGCAGTGCCTCTGGGAAAACCACAGTGGCCAATAAGATAATTGAAGCTCTGGACGTCCCCTGGGTGGTGCTTCTTTCTATGGACTCTTTTTACAAGGTAACGATGGGGAAACCTCAATGGGCCATAAAGGTGTAAGAAAACTCAATGAGTAAATACTGATTGATTAAGAATATTAAGTGAATTTAGGGCTGTCATAATTAATTGATTAAACTCAATTTAAAAATCATTGACTAAGGCTGCGTCCAGACAGTGCAGTGTACTTTGGCCAAAGCACCAGGATGTGGATTATGTGGATTCTGCTCGTTCCACCACAGAACGTGGTTTTTCCATTGTGGATCCTCGCTGATCAAACTGAAAAAGGTTCAGCTATTGTGAAGTAGATCTTCCTGTTTAAGGCATTAGCTGCAGCTGTTAGTTTCAGTTTTCTACTTGATGACTCTGGATAAAGTATTTACTGTTCCGTGAAAGATCCGCTAATAGAACTGCTCTGTTTAAATAGCTCTGAGTGGTGGAATTACAGAGGCAGAGACATCAGTCATTCTGTGAACTTGCGAGAGCTGGTCATTAATCCTTATTTGACCACTTTAATGACACAACATCCAATTGATTGTTGCTCTAAAGACTCTGATTCATTCAAGGAGAACCAGGTTCCCTCCCACTTCCACAGCGTGTACTTTATAATAGGTTAGGTGTTTAGTTTGAAGGAGAGTGATTTGTAAAGACGGGAAAACGAAGTGTGTGGTGGTTTTGCAGTCTCATGTATGGTTTCGCTCGTTGTTCATCTGTACAGGTTTTGTCCAAAGAGGAACAGGAGCTGGCGGCAAAGAATGAATACAACTTTGATCACCCAGACGCTTTTGACTTCGAGCTGCTGGTGACTGTGCTGAGGAAACTGAAGAAGGGTAAAAGCGTCAAAGTACCTGTGTATGACTTCACTTCCCACTGCCGTCGCAAAGAGTGGGTAAGTGTGTGGTTCTGTGTGGTTCTGTGTGGTTCTTTGTTTGTTTTTGTATTTTCCTGGTGCTCCTGGCCACAGCATTTCACGTTTTGGCCACTTTGGTATCTGTTCTTATCAGTTTTGGCCTTAAGGTTCATTGACTTGGTGACTCCGTTGGCCAGTGCAATTTTTTATAACTTTTTACCTTCATTTTCAAGAAAAACATACTGACTTTGTAGCAAAACCAAAGAAATAAGGCTAACCTACAATGGCGACACCTTTCCTGGTGCTCCCGGCCGCATTTCACATTTTGGCCGCTTTGGTATCTGTTCTTATCAGTTTAATATCTGATAGGTCCTCTGTACGAGGACCACATATTAAATTGATTTTTAGAACAGGAAGAGGCGCTTACTCTGTCCGCTCCACGCATTGACCTGGTATTGCAGTACCTCCAGGAGCGGTGCACCTTTTTTGGGGGCAGTCGTGGGCTGGAGGTTAGGGAACCAGCCCTGTGACCAGAGGGTCACCGGTTCCATCCCCAGAGCCGGCAGTATGTGACTGAAGTGCCCTTGAGCAAAGCACGTAACCCCCAACTGCTCCCCGGGTGGTGTGGATAAGGCTGCCCACCGCTCCGGGCAAGTGTGCTCACTGCCCCCTAGTGTGCATTCACTAGTGTGTATGTCGTGTTTCACTGCATGGATGGGTCAAAATGCGGAGGTGAATTTCCCCCGTCGTGGGACTCATAAGGGTCCCTTAAAATAATGTAATTTAATTCAATTTAAAACTGCACAGCCTGTTCCTGGGTAACCACTTACTTTGGAGATGTTTTTTTGTGTTCTTTTTCTTTTTTAACACACCTGTTTGGACAAAGAATAAAACGTAAAGCCTACTTGAGCTGATTCTGAATGAAAAACTAGTTTAGATGAGTTTGAGACTCTCTTACTTTTTATCTGATTTTTTTAGATGCCATCTAGAACCATATACAGCGCATTCTCCATCAATCTAAAGAACAATTTCACCATGTAAAGAACCATTTAAGCATGAAATTGTTGTATAGAGAACTCATGGTTCAGTACCACTGCCTATACTAAGGAATCATTTTTTTAAGAGTGTAGAGACATCAGTGGTGCGAGTAATGAAATTCTTATTATCAGTAACAGTAATGCGGTTTCAGAGTTGCGCTATTAGAGGAAAAAGCAATCACATTACTGTCATGTACCATGTTAACCCCAACACTGATAGTGTTGAATGTTCTAATAAATTGGAAATGGAAACGTTAACATATCAACACAAGGCACATTTTCAGGCACTCCTTATTTTTGCTGTAGGACACCACATACATCAAAAAACTTATGATCCCACATATTGCTGCCGTGTAAAAGTAAGTTGGTGCGTGTAATTAATATTAATGACTTCTCTCTGACCAGAGATTCTGTGTAACTTGACAATTGAAATGTTTCCTTGGCACTGCCAGTCCTGTAGTTATGATTAAACACTGTGCCCACAATGCAGCATAGACATAGTATTTATATCAATAAAATAATAATATGGTTATGTAATTATGGACTGAGAGAGACGATCCAAACTGCTTAAATGGATTGTAAATCAAAGCTACTGTCAAAACCCAACCGCAGTCAAATATGACTTTTTCCCACATAAACTGTGTCTTTCTCATATATTTAACTTAATGGCCCAAAGACCCACTCATACATATACATTTTCATAGAAACAGCTTTAAAAATAATGAATAACAGCGTGTGAAACCTTTCCCCCGTGTGCAAAATGCAATTTCATGCCTGAAAGACACAATGAGCAATAGAAAAACATCATGACGACACTACCAAACAACACTAATTCAAAACCTGCTTTTGTTTTGCGCTTGTGGGCTCGTAATCATCTTCCCCAGCTCTTAAAAGAGATGGACTCAGTCAGTTTTTCAGTCTTCATAATGGGCTATAACATTAAAGAGTTTTACACCTGAAGCTGGACTCTCACTAGGGTTTGGAGGTCACCTTAGTGCCTCAGGAGAGGATTCATGTTATTCTCAGAAAGCTTCAAAAGACCATAACAGCAAATAAGCTGTTCAGGGTTGAGCAGTGAATTAGTGAGAGAAAGCCGGAGTGCAGAAAAGGGCAGGTGAGTGAGAATACTCCGTTTATAATAAAGTTATTCAGTGCAGAGACACCCTGATACATTACCAGCACCACTTAAGGATGCAGTGATGCAGTATTTCTGGGCTGATAATGATAACTGAGAATTAACACATTGGTATGGCCAGTAACAAACTAGTAAACATATGCTCATGGGTATATATTGGTTTTTCCATCCGAATTTACATGACCAAATCGTAAGGCAAATTATTTGTTTGTTGGAAAAGCTCCCCTCAGATCAACAGAAAATGTGTTTTATCATCATACACATGTTGCTATATGCTGACAATTTTCTGCTGAAAGCCAAAAATCTTAGACGCTCTTTGTATTATTTTATAAAAATAATGTTTACAGAGCAGCTTCTTTTATTATAAGGGTTTAAAATTACATCACCTGTCTATTTGACTGGAAAGAAGACAGTTACAGCTCTCATACGACCCCCACCTTTAGAATGTAGCTTATGAAATATGAAAGTTATGAAGTAAAGAATATGACAGTGCGTTTTGGAACCACCGGTGGTTCCACGGAGTTACAAGCAGTAACTAATTCAAGCAGTCCATTTATGAATTGCAGTGAGGGCAGGACAGGAAGATGGATCATTCATTTTACATCCTCAAAAAAAGCAGAAAACATTTAACAAAAAAAAAAAAATCCAGAGCCTCAACAACATAATAAAATATCTTACCACTTCCACTCATTTTAGGAGACTTGCTTTCTGTTTTTCAAAGAAATCTCCAGTGATATTTTTCCACACCTATATATTGTGTTTTATGAAAATGTGATATATATGATATATCGTTCACACCAGTCTAAGTAAAAAGAAATCTCGTTCCCAGTTCTCTTATGGGCACCTGTGAATTAATGTAGTCCAGCCTCTGTGTTTTTGGCATTGCTTAGAATTAGTCGCACCTCAAATTATCCTTTTACCATGTTCGTCTAATGGTTCTTTTCTTTTGTGTGTTCTTCTTTGTAGAAAACTGTTTATGGTGCCAACGTAGTAATATTTGAGGGAATCCTTTCATTTGCCAATAAGGAACTTCTGAAGGTAAGTTCACATCCTGTAATTTGTGAAAATTTGCTAGAACAGAACAGTCTGATTGTTGTCTGCTCTTTTACTGCCCTCTTGTGGCTCCACAGCAGAATTAGATTTGTAGGTAAAAATAAAATAATCCTCCTTTACAGTAAAATAAAGCTCTGCTGATCGTTCAGCACAGTTTATAGCAACACAGACAACAATCTCGCCCAGCTAGTAGCTAATGAAAAGACAAACATTGATAATTTGGAGATGAATGGACTCATTTGCATTTATAATCACTCCAGCTGGTTTCCTGATACGTAAATGACAGACACTAAAAGTCAAGTCAGCATCTCGCTCGCCAGTTTCTTGTTTGAATTTTCACATTCCACCTTAAATGATGCAACAGTTAGCTACATTGTTAGCTACATGTTAGCTACAAGGCACCATTTAAGGTGGAACGGGAAAATTCTAACAAGAAGCTGACGAATGAGAAGCAACTTCAGCCTCGTAAAAGGTCAAATGTTGAGACATTTTACAAGAAACTGTTCTACGTTTGTGGAAAAGTTTCCTGCTGGAGATGCGATAAAAGCGGCTATAGCTAAAGCTTAAAGCAGAGCAAAGTAAGTCTGCATTTTTGATTATATAATATTTTTTTGCTTATACTGGCACATCAGCATGTACTGAGACAGATTTACAGCCAAGATGGTGAAACGTTACTTGAATAAAATGGACATGAAATGTTGTTGCTCCCAAGGTGGTTAGATTTTTGTTGAAACTTGACAAAATGCCTCTGGTATTATATGTGGAGAATGATATTTATAAATAAACTGGGTGATGATGAGGGCTAACGGCTGACGGACAGTGTAGAGTGGCTGAGAGCACGAACGATAATAGAAAAAGCTTTAAATTATAGGAAGCAAGAAAGAACTTAAATAATAAACGGCAAGGTCGCATGAAAACAGGGGTGGTGTGGTGATTAGGGATAAAAATGAGAGCATGGGAAAGAGGAAATTTGGAGCCGCCAGTGATGGATGCGATGTGATTATGTGAAGCAGGAGTACGGAAAAGCACAGTTTAATACGCAGAAGTACAGGAAAGAGGGAGAGAGGCAGACTCTGCTGCTCAGCATTCGATGGCACTGGCCCAGCCTGTATTGCGTGGAGCTGCGTACAGTCTGATTAATGGTTGTCGTAGTATAGAGGGACGAGTGTGTCTTTGAGGAAATGTAGCTTTGACAGGAAGCGTTGACGTCTCAGCCAGGGAAATGAGGCCTTCTCTCCACTCTAAACACACAAGACTCCAGACTTTGCATTTCATTTACACCCATTTTCAGTTCCAAGTCTGTGGAACAGACAGTGGTAGCCCTCCACCATGTCATTTAAGAGGTTAAGCCAGGTGTACGTTACATAACTTAAAATCCCAGGTGTTGGGATGTCAGTCTTCTACAGTAGTGAGAGTACACACAGTATAAGATCAGGCCCAAAGATGGCAGAGAGAACAGGCTTGCAGATATAGCTGATTTGTGGAAGGGATATGCTTTTTTCACTGTTATACGCGAGCATCTGTAAGATTTAATGAATCGACAAGTAACTGCAGGGAAGGAAAAACATGAAAAAAACCTTTTCAGGTCACAGCACTGGTGCAGCCGCACACAGAGAACACATTTTAAAACATGTTTTCTTATTTCATAAACAGTCGAGGGAATCCGTGAGTTTTTATGTTGGCTCAGTAACAAGCTAATGAGCTAACAGAGCTAACTGGAATGGCACACGATGCCAGTGAGGACTCATTGTGCTTATACAGGCAGACGATGTGCCAGCATGTTAGTGCAACCCTTTTTTGAAGTCATTAATAATTGTTATAAATTATTGAAGGTAAAGTTATATTCCATGACCCCCTTTTTACTAGGACCTCCCCCATCCAGCCCCCTTCCCCCCACACCCCAATATACACATTAAAGAAATTACAGAGGAATTTTGAAACAGTAAGTCTGCGCACTTACTGGACCTGCATTCCTTAGCTAGCATTAAGTCATAAACCACAAATCTTTAGCATGCCATTAAAAATGCTTCAAGTTCAGCAGCCTATATCATCTATTAGTAAAGAGCTCACCCAATAGAAATTCATAATAACTGTTAGCTGTCTTCTGTGGCCTGTAGGTGGAGCCATTCAGCAGAGCTTGAATGCAGTTGTCAGAATTCTTTTCTCTGTGTTTATTAAGGTGTATGTCTTATAGTATCACTCTTGTGACCTCACTGGGACCACGTTGTGGCCCTCAAGAGTGTTCTGACCATTCTCATACATTTTCAGTTGTATTTAATAAATACACTTTACATTTTTTCCTTTTCCAGATTGTCTGTAAGATGGCTGTAGAACATGAACTTGGCTTTGTATTAATAAATCAGCTAAATTATCTACGCAAACTCATGGCTAAACTAAATTTTAAAATATTCATATTAAACTCATCTTCTTATCATCGCTGCTGTCTGGGTCAGCAGAAATCCAGTCGTCTGACTCCGTATCTGCAATAGGCTGCTGTAATTATCTGTCTCAGATATCTGCCTTTTTGAATCATCATTTGAATCAAGGAAGCAAGTTGAAGTGCTGATTCCAATAATTGGAAAAATGCTGAATATCGGCTCTGATTATCAGTCGAGCCCTTCAACAGGATTTGTGAACATTTTTTGTGTTGCAAAAAGCAAACGTTTGAAAATATCAGGGGACTTTTAATCACAGAGCTGGATGGGCTCATTTTCTCTCTCACACCCCCAGATAATCTGTGCCATCAGTTGCTTACGATGCTGCTTCCGTCCAGGAAGTTTGCTTCCAAAGAAAGTGGTCAGAAGGGGAAAATTGGAGTTAAAGCCAGGTTAAAAACCTGGTGCAATATTTTCCAGTTAAAAATCACAATTATTAATTTTATAACCCACCCCACCCAGTCATATTTAACTAACCTCCAGAGTACTTAAACCGTACAGAAAATACTGCACATTTTACTCAGACAGTAAATCACACACAGCAGAGACGGGGCAAATTTACTCTCCTCTAGCTTTTTTAAAGGTTCCATAGTAACGGAGAGTTTTCATAGTAAAAATGAATAAAACATTGTGTTTATGCTGTTTAATATTATTTGTTACCTTTTTCTGATCCTGTTAAGCAGACAGAGCTCAGAGGAACTTCCTCTACTGTTTTAAGTTCCAGGACCAGAGATAACCTCGCTCTACGATAACTGGTTGTTTAACTGCAGTGTGTCAGTTTGAAGCAAGTTGAAATGTCAGCTCGTCTGCATTTTGGTTCCATTCACTCAAGCTAAACTTAACATAAGTAGGAGGAGAAGAGCCATGTGGGTACAGCTAGCTTAGAGTGTGTAGCAGAGAAAACTAACTGGAAGCTTCTTAACAAACTTTTCTCTCTCTCTCTTATAAACAGTAAAAACTACTGGACCCCATCGCCCACATTGCACATAAATCCTGATTTTCCCTACATGGGTAGCAACCTGTTTAAAGGTCTCTACTTCTCTCTCAGTTCTCTGACCTGACACTATCGCCCTTTTATGCGTTGCCATCGGGTTACTTATCAACGATTTCTCATTACGTCGCCCTGCCGCCCAGGCCTGTACTGTACACTGGCTTCAAAGAAAACTCATTTAATCTTACTTTGTTTAATTCTTAGTTCAAAACAGCCGTAACTGTCAAATACTTCTTATCATGGGGTTTTGTCTGGATTTTCTTTTGAAGGCATTGACATTGTTTTTCCGGGTGTGGGATTTTAGGTGTTCCTCTCCTTTCCCTTCCCCATTCACTTTCCTTTTCCTCTCTCACAACAAACCAGATTCATCAAGCATGTTTGTCTCGTCTTCGCCGCTCTTTCTTTCAGACGCTGCAGGCTGGGCCGGTCAGGCCAGAGGAAATGAACGGGCGCCATTCGTCCCTGACGACTTTGATAGCTCCCCTTGTGCTGTTCGATTCTTTTAAGAACAGTAGCGCCCAGAAATCCATATGAATTAAAACGGGAGTGATTGTGGGGGCATCGGTGAAGGAGCCCGGCTCCTAGTGATTTATGGCTGCCACGCAGTCTGAGCTGGAGCCAGCGGTCCGAATGAGTGCGGCGCGTTGAAGCTGTCTGTGGAGCTGTCAGCTAATGAATGGATGGCACTTCACTGTTTCATTCTTACTGAATCACGACTCGTGTAGATTATTGCATGATGGGAGTTTGTGAATAGGACTCTAGTGCACCTCAGCGCTCCTTGCTGCTCTGCAGTGGTGGTTCAGCTGGAGAAATGATGAATATCTTGCAGGACAAAGTGTAATATATGTGTTTGACCTTCTGCACTTTGTCTTTTATATATCCTACCCTGCGCACACTTCATCTCGGCGCTCTCAGTGGTGACAGATCTGCTAGCAGTGCTGTTTGTGTGTGTATATCCGTGTGCCTTTTCCGTGTGGTAGTTTGTAGGTGATTTACTGTTTCCCACTTGTCTTTTGGCTCCACTGAATGTCAAGTCTCCGTGTTGGGCCACTGATACGTCCTTCTGCTGCGTTTATCCTCCATTTTCAATGCAGCCATTACCTCTGCCTTTTGCTGCAATTCAGATTTAACTGCTGACTATGGAAATGTCACACTGAATGTTTTCGGACCAACATGAAGCCGTGGTTTTCGCTCTGTAGGAATATCAGATTTTACTAGGACTGAATGTTGGCCAGATATCAAGTTGCGATTTTTCTGACTAATATTGTGAGTGCAGGCATGAATTATCCTATTTTTGGTCCATGAAAACCACAAAATCCAGTTTTTCTGGCTTGAGGCCTGAACATTGAGCATAGTACACCAAACTGGCACTTAGTTGTGGTTGTGTTGTCACGTGCACAGCAGATGAGCGTTTGGTTTGTTCTGATTGGTCTAGGTTGTACAGGTATAATATAATAATGTAATAAAAGATAATACAAATTGCAGCTCTTATGATCTGAAAATTGCGCTTTTTCAAATTGCAGTTTTATAAAACCAATTAACCTTTTAGCCATAACTGGCCCAAATAATTGACCATTACATCATCCGTTTTTTACCAAGCCCAAATGGGAAAACCACAAATCTGGCAACAGGTTTTAATCTTGTGTTTCAATCGCTGTCTAAAAAATATTGTGAAAAATTGTAAATAGGAAGTTCAGAGTTCCATCATTTTCTTTCATTTGTTAACTGTTAACAGTGAAGCATTTGGTAACTTCTGTAAGTGTGTAATTTCAACATCTCTGGTGTAATTTTGCAGCTTTATCTGCTTTCAGAAGCAGCAGACAGACATTGCTAATGTCGACACTGTTAGAAGATTAACTAGAAAAACAGATTCTCATTCAACAGTTTAGAATCAATGTTTTCAATAACATAAAACCAATTTGATGGCAAATAAATGTAAAGAATGATTCTAAGATGCTAGTCTGGTGTGCATGTACAGGTTATATATGACTAATAAACCGAGGATGTTGGAGGTTCTGACAAAAGAAGAAAGCCAGTGTCAGATTTGTTTAGAATGGTGAACAGATCTGATAAACCTCTCCAATATCAATAATGAAGCTACACTAATATCCAAAAAGCCTTGTGTTTTAGAAGCAGTGGTCAAATCTCAATACAGAAAACTTCAGAAAGTAATTTTTGAGTAAAATTCCATTCATACATTTTGGTGTATAGTTAATAATATTTAAATCTACATTTTCATGTTATTCATGAATATAAATAATGTTGATTTAATGTAGCTTTCAACCTCCCTATCTACCTCTTTTCCTCTTCTTTCTGTATTCCCCAAAGCTGCTGGACATGAAAGTGTTTGTGGACACTGACTCGGACATCCGGCTGGTCAGACGACTGAAGAGGGATATTTCAGAGCGAGGTCGTGACATTGGTGGTGTCATTAAGCAATACAATAAATTTGTCAAGCCAGCATTCGAACAGTACATCGAACCCACAGTCCAGGTGGCAGATATTGTGGTTCCGAGAGGTAAGTGCTGAACTGAATTCATCATTAATTCAGACTCACATACACCCACATAACTGAGCACATCGGCTCTTAAAGGATCTCACCACAAAAACTAATATGGTCAGCAGCGGATGTGAGCTGCACTGGGAGGCAGTTAGCCTGCTCTCTTTTATATACACATTTTGTTAATTCTCTATGTGAAAAGGAATTAACACAACCTCTATATGGAACAAACTTAAATATGACATTTCTCAAAATTATTGTTCATTTGCTAAATTTAAGATATTGGGGAAAAAAAATAAAATATAAAATGTAGCGTTTGCATAAATTTGGATTCCCTTTCAATTGATCTATCTAGTGTTTAAGGTCTCAGAGCTTATTTGATTCATTAGGCCTTAATCTAAATCAAGTGTAGACAGTTTCAGCATGTAATAAATTCTGTGAGCCTTTAAAACTGTTGGAACTCAAGACAATCTGAATGCAGTCACTAAAGTAGCTTTTTATCTTCTGAGAAATGTCACTAAATTTCAGCCTTTTCTCTCTGAGTGACGCAGATCATGTATTTGTTCCAGCAGAGTTGATCACTGTAGTGATCTTCTTACTGAACTTCCTAAGAAAACAGTCCATCCTTTACAACTCGTACAAAATACATCAGCATCAACAAAAACAACACAGAGAGATCAGATCAGTCCTGCTTTAAAAGAGCTGCACTGACTGCCTGAATCGTTCAGGATAGAGTTTAAAGCTCTGCTACTAGTTTTTAAGTCTCTAAATGACCTTAAAGCTCCGCTTACATCACAGACTGTCTGTCTGTTTATGTTCCAGCACGTAATGTAAGATCTGCAGACAGTGGCCTTCTACAAATACCCTCTGTAAAATACAGAAAACGTGGAGAGACTCTTTCAGTTATTCTGCTTCTAAACTGTGGAGCTCAGTTCAGCTTTTATTAGACAGTCAAGCTCAGAGCTCACTTTTAAGAAGCATCTAAAAACGTCTCTCTTTAACTCAGAGCTTCATTAAAACTCTTGTCTCGTGGTGTTTATCTTCTAATTTGATCTGTTTCATTTTCTTCTGATACTAAATAAATACTAATGATTTCTTGTATAACTATGTTTTATCACCTGTCTGTAAGGCACTTTGAGCTGCCACCGGCATGAAAAGTGCTATATAAATAATAAAAAACATTATTATTAATTAATTAACTGCTAATTCTCTGATAATCTTAGACCAGTCAGAAATGCAAAGCAAATCCCCCACATCACTGGCAAGGTCCTACAGAAAGCTTTGGCTGGCACAGGAAAAAATGATGCGCTGGTGCACTGTTCGGTGATGTTGCACAGACACCATCATCTACATGGAAGAGTCACCAGAAGTTAATTTTTACTTGATTTCTTCATACCCAAATAAAACTTAATGCCTAAGATTTAATGTTTCCTCCTAAAAATTCAGAAATTCCATTTGTACCAAGTGTCTAACGCTCTTCTGTTCTTCCTCAAGGTGGAGAGAACTTTGTAGCTTTGGATTTGATTGTCCAGCATGTCCATAGTCAGCTTGAAAAGGTATGTCAAAATAAAGGCTTCGTGTGTGCAGACATATATTCTAAAAATAATAATAGCATGTACAGATGTGATTAGATATAAACTGAGAATGGCCTTCGTGCATGTCACTATCACAGATAGCTGAGATTTGTTGCATGGGTGTGCATATGAAACCCAAGCCATGGTATAAATCACAGAGTAAATATTTAGAGCATTTGATTTTTCAACAATGACTAAATGAGCTGCAAAGACATGCTGATATCATTAAGTCAGACTTAACTCAGGTTGTCTTTGTCTCCTCCCAGTGGTCAAGGTTGTTAAGACAAGCAGCACAGACTGCAGAGGGAAGATTCATGGGTGCACAAAATATGTGCTGCAGAATAGAATCAGCAGATATTTAGTGTTACATGATTTATGATTAAAGGACATTGTAAACATTGACTAGGGTATATGAATCTGACCGGTAGTGCTGATGCTCTGTTTTATTGGCCCATTGTCCATTTCAGGGAGTCATTTATGGTTCCTAGAAAGCACATAGCTGGGTTCATCATGTCCCATCCTCATGTGAAATACAAGAGGCCATCTTTTCTGGTTTAAAACTGTTCAGCGAGGTTCAGTGGAGCGCGATTAGTCACACTGCACCAAACATGCATTTAGGTTATTTACAGCTGTCACTATTGATTAATTTAGCAATCACATAATCTGCTCATTGAGTAATCGAGTGATCTGCTCATTGAGTAGTCAGAGTTTTTAAAAAGCAATGAAAGTGTAAAGTCAACAGTAACAAATTATGCTGAACCAAACATTTCAGAATATTTTATTGGATGGAAAAGATTCAAAGCCTTCAAAGGGAGCACATTTAAAGGGTCCATATACTCAATTTTTCTTGAATGTTATTTTTCTCCCTGAGCTCTACTTTAGGGCAGAAAGGTGAATTGTTTTTATATCAAAATGCAATTTTAAAATCATAAGAGCTCCAATTTTAATAATCACCTATGTTATTAATCATTGTATTTTTTCAAGTATGGTAAATTTCATAATCCAATAACACTGAAAATTGAACTTGTGAGTTATGTGTAGATGAATTAGACCTATCAGAAGCAACCGTGTGGCAGTCTGGCAAACTTGACTCAGCATCCAAGTCTCAAGCCAAGAAAAAGTAGATTTTCTCATCTGCTTCCAAAATATGGGCCTGACTAATTTATAGAAAATAATCACTATTTAAATCTGTCACAATATTAGTCAGAAAACATGCAATAGAATATTTCCCCAAATTGTTCAGTCCTAGGTTACTTCTGATGTTTGTGTTTGTGTACCAAAAACAGTGATCATTCATTTTTACATAACTGTTACCTCTCTTTATCCCTTAGGATCAAACTGAATTAAGACATATATGCACTCACCGAGCACTTTATTAGGAACACCTATATGCCTACTCTTCATGCAGTTATCTAATCAGCCAATTGTGGCAGCAGTGCAGCACATAAAACCATGCAAATGCGGGCCAGTAGCTGATGTTCACATCAACCATCAGAGTGGGGAAGAAGTGTGATCTCAATGATTTTGACCATGACATGATTTGTTGGTGTCAGTTGGTTCAGTGTTTCTTTAACTGTGATCTCCTGGGATTTTCACGCACAACAGTCTCTAGTGTTGACTCAGAATTGCATGATAAAGAAAAGACATCCAGTGAACAGCAGTTCTGCCTTGTTGATGAGAGAGGTCAACAGAGAATGGCCAGAGTGGTTCAAGCTGACAGAAAGGCTACAGTAATTCAAGTATTAACTGTGTACAATTGTGATGAGCAGAAAAGCATTTCAGAATGCACAACATGTCGAACCTTGAGGAGGATGGGCTACAACAGCAGAAGAGCATGTAAGGTTCCACTTCTGTCAGCCAAGAAGAGAAAGCTGGGGCTGCAGTGGGTCCAGACTCGCCAAAACTAGACAGTTAAATACTGGAAAAATGTAGCCTGGTCTGATGAATCCCAGTTTCTGTTGAGGCTCTCAGATAAGGTCAAAATTTGGTGCCAACAGCATCAATCCATGGACCCAACAAGCTGGTGCAGGTGGTGTAATGGTGTGGGGAATGTTTTCTCTGCACACTTTGGACCTGTTAATACCAATCAATCATTGCTTAAATGCCACAGCCTGTTTGAGTACTGTTGCTGACCATGTGTCTCCCTTAATGGCCACAATTTACCATCTTCTAGTGGCTACTTCCAGCATGATAATGCATCATGTCACAAAGCAAAAGACGTCTCAGGCTGATTGAGGCTGTTTTGAAAGCAAAGGGAGGCCCTACATAGTATTTGTAGTATAGTCTAGTGTTCCTAATAAAGTGCTCAGTGAGTGTATATATAAATGAGCTCTGTTCTGATAGGGTTTCCTGTATTTTGTCTCCAAAAAAGAAAGGGAAAAAAAAAAACAAAACCATAAATGCAAACTTACCACTCTTCACAATCCATATAAGAAAATGTCCCATACTGGAAAACAGGCTCTAAAAGTGCGGTGTAGGCATTTTCTTTGCAGGAATTTACATTAGCTTTCCTCTTAAGGTCACCTTTGGCAGCTGTGACCTTTTGCAGGAGAAGCAGTTTAAATTCTTTTTTTTTAGTTATAGATTTGTGCACATAGAAGATCCCCTAGTCTTTATATGAAGGAAAACAGCAGTAACGTAAGCCTCTATGATTTAAAGATTTCTTATCGTGTTTTCTTCTGTGGTGGACAGCAGGAGTTAAATTATGAATCATCCTTTGAGAAAATGAATCCTCTGTACTCAGGAGATCAGTCAAGGTGAGGGATGATGACTCTTTAAGACTAATGAAGCGTTCGTCTCTCGGCGTAAGAGATCTGCTCTAAAATTGGAGGGCCCTGTTACATTAGTCAGAGAACTAATTCATTCTGGAAAGCGAACACAGAATGAAGTTGGATCTTTAATGTCAGTTTGACATTCGCTGACTTCTGAAGATCATTTTCAAGAAGGTAGAATTTATCACCTCTGAATTTTAATATGTACACTAAGTATATCAAATCTTTCAGTACTTAATTTGTCCACTCTTATCTGCACTTTACTGCAACTTTCACTTTTTTTGCTGTCCTTTCAATCTTAAAACTGTATCCTCTCAACAAAAGCATCCCAAAGTGTCACTGACACTGACATCTACATTCATTGTCCATTTTATCAGCTCCACTTACTGTATAGGAGCACTTTGTAGTTCTACAGTTACAGACTGTAGTCCATCTGTTTCTCTACATACTTTGTTAGCCCCCTTTTACCCTGTTCTTCAGTGGTCAAGACCCCCATGGACCCTCACAGAGCAGGTACTATTTGGGTGGTGGATCATTCTCAGCACTGCAGTAACACTGATGTGGTGGTGGTGTGTTAGTGTGTGTTGCGCTGGTCTGAGTGGATCAGACACAGCAGTGCTGCTGGAGTACCTCAGTGTCACTGCTGGACTGAGAACCAACAACATCACTGACCACTGATGAAGGACTAGAGGATGACCAACACAAACTGTGCAGCAGCAGATGAGCTGTCGTCTCTGACTTTGCATCTACAAGGTGGACTGACAAGGTAGGAGTGTCTAATAGAGTGGACAGTGAGTGGACACAGTGTTTAAAAACTCCAGCAGCACTGCTGTGTCTGATCCACTCAGACCAGCGCAACACACACTAACACACCACCACCACATCAGTGTTACTGCAGTGCTGAGAATGACCCACCACACAAATAGTACCTGCTCTGTGAGGGTCCATGGGGGTCCTGACCACTGAAGAACAGGGTGAATAGTCTGTAATTGTGGACCTACAAAGTGCATCTATATGGTAAGTGGACCTTAGAGTGTAGAAACAAGGACTTAATGAAGTGGCCGGTTGGCGTATTTTGGTTTGGCTAACTGTATTTTTGTATTCATAGTTGAGCAAACAAGTCAACATTTTTATAGAAGTGCTTTTTATTGCGTTTAAATGCTGCTTGTTACTGTTGATTTTTTTTAGATGAAGAAAGCTTCATCTAAACATCATAACATTTCACTCACAGAGAGCCAACAGTGTCCTAGTTACTCTGATAACAAAGTTATGGTGAAAAATCCATTGTGGGGGCAGAATGGTCACTAGGGGTCTGCGGAAGGAGGTTAGCTGCCTTATGAGAAAATATTTCGGAGGAGGTTAGATGTAAAATAATCCACTTGCATAAGAAAAGGAGAAAGTCTCTGAAACTGGGCTTGAAAAAATTGAGACACAGAGAAAATGGGACTCCTAACAACCATGCAAAGACCTGGTCGACCCCAAAACTGCCCCCATCAGATAAACAGCGCTTAAAGCTTTCATCTCTGAGAGAGAGGAGAAAATCAAGCTGCTTCAGATCTGAAAACATCCACAGGTGTTTCTGTCCATCCTTCCACTGTGAGAAGACGACTCAGCGCTGTGGGTCTGAAAGGATGTGTAGCTGTCAAGAAGAACCTCACTGAGGAAAGAAAATAGACATCTGAGGCAGGAAGTAAAGTGTAATGAACTGATGAGTCTGAATCTGTACTTTACATTATTTAGATTGTAAGTAGCAGAAAACACTTCTAAACACAACTTCTGCGACTAAACTTTGAAAATGAGGAAAAATATTCCTGCAGTCTTTGAAAAACTAAAAGCAAGTCTCCTGAATAATAGATGCTGCAATAAAAAAGGTGGACGCATTAAATACTGGACAAAATATATATTTTATTATTTCTGTGTAACTTTCTGTTAAATGTTTTTTTTCCTCTTTCGCTGAACAGATTAATTACTTGACCTTAATGACTATTCTGACTTAAAGTTAGAGAAATGAAAGGGTTCTGACACGATCAGATGATGGGGATTAAATCATTTGCTCATGCTGCCATTTTGAGTCTTGTGTTATGCTGCTTTGTGCCATTTTGTGTTCCTGTAGTTCAGATAAAGATTGAAGAGAAAGTCCATAACTTTGCACTCTGATAGAAATACATGCAGTATTTAAGTGTAAGTGCTGGAACACTGTGTGATCTTATTGCTTTAAATGTGTGGTGTAATATTCATGATTCAGTTTATACCATGGGGGGAGGGGCTGAGTGTTGGAATGGCTTTCTTTCATTGGATGTTTCATTTCATGAGTTCTTTTTTCTTTTTTTTTAATTCTCTCCTTGCCCATGTGCGTTTGTAATGAAATACTCGCTAAACCCCTCCCTGACCGAATGCACTCTAACTCGTCTCAGCGTGAAATCACAGTGAGGTATGGCTGCCAATCCCAAAGAACCCTCTCCTTCCCTCATTCCATCTCCATCTCTGTCTTCTTTCTCTTTTAGTCTTCTTTTTCCTGTTCTCCTCTCAAAACTGCAGAGATGTAAGAAGAGACTAAAGGAAGTGTGTCTGTGCTGAATAATTGGGTTCTGTTTGTTCATAGTTACTTTAGTGAACGTTGGAAATATTGGAGATACTGCTGGAAAACAGCAGCTCCATGCTTTATACATCCTTTGGTCTCTTTTTGCACTGTTAGTGTTTCAGTGGCTTTAGTTAACGTGGGTAAGGGGGATGAGCCAATGGTTTTGTCTAATGCTTTTTCTTTAATTCTTAGTGGTTTTTAGTACTAACCAGAGTTTTTTAGTTTGGTAAACTTTTTTGCATTTGCATTGATTCCTAAATTAAGTGGGGCTGGCCCTATTGATTTGAACACATTGGTATTTGTTTCTCTGTTTAGTAATCAGAAACTTTGTATTTTTTTCAGCCACAAAAATTGTAGCCTAGACTAAAATACATTTCATCAGCAAAGATTTTTAGATACAGTGATAGTGATTGTTCATGTATGGAGAATGTTAGAAATAAATACAACCCCATTTCCAGAAAAGTTGATGAGATGAAAATCTCAATTCAGATGATGAAAAGCAGAAGTTCTTTGTTAATTTATGTTGAGAAACGTTATTCTTGAATTGTTGCACTATTTGATGGTGCAGTCTTTCACAGAGTGGTGAACCCCTCCTCATCTTTACTTCTGAAAGACTCCGCCTCTCTCAGATGCTCTTTTATATATGTTATTGACCTGTTGTTGATCAACCACCAGGTGATTTTTAGCATTACACAACTTTACCAGTCTTTTGTTGCCCCGTCCCAACTTTTTTTGGAACGTGTTGTTGGCATCAAATTCAAAATGGTTATATATTTTTCAAAAACAATAAAAACTTCTCAGTTTCAACATTTGATTTGTTGTCTTTGTACTATTTTCAATAAAATATAGGGTTTAAGTGATTTGTACATCATTGCTCTTTTTTTCGTTTACATTTTGCACAGCATCCCAACTTTTTTGGAAATGGAGTTGTAAATTAAAGCTGGTTCTGTTGAATGCATCCTAAATTCCTGCCAGGCATCCAGGTCACCTCACCTCAGAGAGCAACACATGACCATTGAAGCTAAAAGACCAAAACTGACTGAGGTCACATGTTGACGTGAGCCGGTTGATTACTGATATTCTTACAAGTATTTTTTTTTCATTGGAGGTTTAGCCAAAAATTACATCTAGATATGCAAATGAGATGTTATTTGCATAAAACATCAATTTGCATACATTAAAACAAAATAAACAAAACAGTTTTTTTCCTGGTCAATTTGTAGTATAATATCTAGCATAAATACAGCTGTGAGTGAAACATGAGGACATCCTTCTGTAAAGTCCCTCAGAATGTGGTTAGAAATAAATATTGAAGAAAAACAGTTTCTTTTTAGAAAATGTGGGAATGTTGACATGAGTACTATGAAAGCCTTCATAGTACGATTAGTACAACAGTATTTTGTTTAGGTTCTACAGGAAACAAGCTTTTCAGTGATTTATAAGACAACATGGTTGTGCCAAGTGTGGGCAGAGCTAAGCCTTCATTGGAGTTGCTAATGTTGAGAAGCGACAATTTATGTTGATTTTTGACTCCTTTGATTACAACTTAAGAGAAAACATATTATAGAATCTGAAAAATAAATTGATGGGACCAACATTGTCATTTCTGTCTGTAGTTTCTTGGCATAAAGTATCAGACAATAAGAAAAATGCACAATGTTAATTAGAGCTGAAACTGTTCTTAATGCATCAGGAAATATTTCTGTTGTCATCCAGTGTACAGTGAGTTAATGACTTAACCTGTACAGGCGAACACTTCACTTACAGTGCCTGTGTGAGGCAAATAGCGAAAGAAAAAGAGCAATTATGACTGAAAACTAAAAAAGAAGCAACTTTTAAGGATAATCATATAACACATGCAAGCCTGACTTAGATTTCAGTGGAGGCACAACGTTACCACTGTCACCACTAAGAGAAAAGGTACATTGCAGTTGGCGCTGCGTTTCGTCAGAAGCAGCCAACGTTACAAAAGCTCATCATGTTCCATTACTAACGTTAGTCACTGGAATATTCTAAGATGTATTCATTTCTGTTAATTGCTAGATTTTAGCAGGTTAGTATTTTAAAGCTATTGAACGTTCAGCAGCTCTCAGAGCTTTACATACATCAGCCAGCTGACTGTGAAAAATGTCATTCAGCTCGTTTTGCAAACATAGTTTTAACATGTAGAAATGCCATCTGATCACCCTGAAAAGCTGTTTACATGTAGCTCGTTTAGTGAACTAGCGTTAAAATGTTGATGCTGCAGCCTAAAGAGCTGTAATGTTATTCTATGTGTTTATTACTATATATTTTCTGTTTAGTTATTGTTTATTACTGTAGCTCAAAATCATGCACTTAAACAGAACACTGTGTTTGTGTGTGAATGTGGTAATTTAGCTCATGATAAACACTGCCTAAGTGTGCCAAAACATTGTCATTGTTACAGGTTTTCACATTCAAGCCAATAAATCAATTATTAGTCCGTAAATTCACGTGATTAATTGACTATCAGAATATTTGTTTTTTTTGCAGTCTTGTTGACGCATCACTGCCACCTACTGGATACATTTTGCACTGCAGTAATGAACAGATCAAAATGTTGGGTTAATTATGAAAACGATTATTGTTTTTAAGTTTGGTTTTGAGAGCGAGTGTTTGGATACTCATTTGGAATCGCCAACGAAAAATGCCGTTTGGGCCAGCCCTAAAATTATAATGACATTAAAAAGCTTAAGGAAGACTTGAGCACAACCTCATTTTTTAGAACCATAAAAACATCCCCCAAACCTGACCATCCCTGTCCAGACACAAACACGCGCACACTGGCTACGTCAGGGTGACTGTCCACCACTGCAGTTCCTGTCGTGGCTATAGCTGAATTGACTTTGAGCTTTAATTGGTTTGTGTTCTCTTTCCTTTCTCTTTCTCTGTCTCTTGTCATCACAATGAATCTGTGTCATCTTCTCCAGAGGAAGCTCCGCTGGGATATGTGAGGATAAACTCCTGCATCCCTCCTTTTTTTCCTTCTTTTGTTCCATTTCCATCGTGTCTTGTCTTGTTCCATCTCTGAAATTCCTCTACATGTCTTGCCATCACCTCCTTTCAGAGACGTCTGCTCTTAGTCACTTACTGACATCAGGTGCTTGATTTTCTGTTTATCTGTTCCTTTTTTTTGTTTGTTTTACATCTTTAAGAGTTTGGCCAACTAACATCTACAGTTTTTTGGTCCAAGATGTCCCAGTTAGGGGTGGGAATCTGTAGGTGCCTCACAATTCAATTCGATTTCGATTCAGGGTGTTGAGACAATTCTAAAACGACTCGATTTTTCATTTTGCATTTCATAGCCTACATTTTGATTTATCTTTCTCCTGTTAACGTCTTTAACAAGTGTCTTAGCTGACTGTGAAGTAGAGCTGGGCAGTATGACAGTATTTATCATCATTGTAATAAATGTTGTTATAGTATGTCACACTATGCTTTTGTGAGCATAGATAAAGTCAACACTTCCCAACTGCATGTTTGATTACAAAAAGAGCTCAGTTAGTCCTGTTTAACTGGATTAAGTGCAGCCCAGACTGTGAAATATTAAATAGAAATCATTATATTAATAGTTTTTGATAGTATTTTAATAATGGCGCTACTTTTTATCAGATGTCAGAAAAATGTAACATATTGTGTATCAAGAAAACTTAAAACATCGTAATATTACATTTTCGCCATATCGCCCGCCTCCTCTTATAATATAGTCTAAAGTCTGTTTCATCATCTAATACAGTCATATGCAAAAGTGTGAATACCTCGGTCAACTTAAATGTTTTACTGATTTTCTATAAGAAAATATCATAACTTTTGCACAGGCCACATTTTATGCTTCTTTTTTCTTCAGTATGTTAAATTCAGCAAATCCACAGTAGTTGTGTATTAAAATGTGCAGGAGTTTGTTCCTGTAGAGGACGCGTTCATTTATTTTCACTTACAAAATTAACAGAAAACATGTCATTTGACCGGGGACCCCAAACTTTTGCATATTTTTATTTATATTTTTTATTAGATTTTTTTCTTCGTGTTACTTATTGTGTACAGAATAGCTCGTGTTTTTTGTATCAGAAATGTTGTTACTGATGAAAAATTATTTCACTTAACATTTAAGAAGCCTTTATATCTAAACACTGCTACAGTATTGCTAACTTTCATTTCCATTATAAAGTTGATGTTAATAACAGTTAATACTTCAATATATTTTTAAAAGCCTCTGAACTTTGAATATTACTTAAGTAGACTGCCTATTAGCAGTTTGCCCAGTTGGTTGTTAAACAAAGCTGTGTTCTTATTTGGAGTCATGTTTACTGTGGTTTCTGACTTTTTTATTGCATATATATTCACATGACTGAAATTCCACGTTTTTTTTCCCCTCCTTAAAGTCAGCAGTGTATCAGATGTTATAATCTGGTTGTATGTGAGATTATTTTACAGTAGGAAAAAAATCTGATTGTGATGTTTTGTGAAGCGATTCAGAATCTTTTAAGACGGCATCGCAACACATATAAGAATCAAACGTTTTCCCACCCCTAATTAAAGTGCTTGGGCTTGAGTTTTTGAACTCACCTTTATTATTACAGGCAGCAACAGTGAAATAAATTGTGTGATTAAACTATCAATTATCTTCAGACTTGACGCTTTAAAATATGACCATTTAATTTTCTATGATGTGCTGTAATGAAGTACTCAGTGACAGATTGTCACTCTACTTCAACAGAGCATTGTTGTTGTCAGTCTTGGCAGTTTCCTCGTAGATCTTCCTTAAAGGACAATTTCAGCATTTTCTCGCAGTATTTTTCCCCATTTTTCACAATGTAATAATATGTTGTTGGTGTTTCTTTTAATGCTTCTAAAGTAGGACACAGTCCAAAAACGACCTCAGGGCATAGAACTGCATCCAGTTTCAAAATTCAGATTTAAGATGGGCTTATAAGTTAATGTTTAAAAGTAGTTTAATGGAATTACATCTACAGGTTACTGTGTGAACGATGAAAAAGCCTTTTTGTATATTCACAATGTTATAACTTAACCTAAAACTGCTATTTACCTTTTAGCTTCATAGCTGGTGTCGTGGTCATACTTTAGAAGGACGCAGTTTGGGGGGGGGGAAATGGGGGAAAATACTTTTGAAGAAAATATTTTGAAAATTTCCTTTAAAATCTATGTAGTCGACTGACCACCTTAACATACCACTAAGGCTTTTTGACCACTGTACAGTACAGTTGGCTGCCAAGGTTTGGGTGCCCCTGATCAAATTAGATTCTGTTTAAAATAAGTACACATCCTCTACAGTGAACACACATCTGCACAGTTACTGCTGATTAGCTGAATTTAACATTTTGGGGGAAAAGTAGAACATGGAATGTGGCCTGTGCAAAAGTTATGGCACATTTCATAATTGTTTTAGGTTTTCCAATTTGTTAAACTCAGCAAATAAATATAAACTATGCACTTACATTAGCAGAAAAATGCCATTTTTCAGTTCACTGTAGAGGATATTAATTTCTTTTCATTAACAAAATCAACAAAGCATGTCACTTGACCAGGGCACTCAAACTTTTGCATGCCACTGTACATTCATGCTGGAAAAAAGTCAGATATCTCCATATTTTTCTTTTTCTTTTTTTTCCTGAAATCACTGGTGTGCATGAATTTGTGCACTTGTATGCTTTTTTTCCTTTGCAGTAAACTCTGAAAAGGACTTGCTTGGTTTAAATCTCAGCTTTGTGATTTTTGTTGTGTAGATCCGCCCTGGCATCTGCCCATCAGGGTCAGCCCCTGCCCAAGACTCTCAGCGTTATGGAGAGCACCCCACAAGTGCGGGGAATGCACACCATCATCAGGTACGACCACAGTAATTACATTAGCAGCTCTTTTTAGGAGACAAAATGTAGTAAAAACACAATTTACTGAAAACAGTGACTAAAGATTGCAAGATGCTAATTTTTTATCTTGGATACTTCATGTTTCTGGTCATATTTGTTATTTAATGTCATTTAAAAGACTTTATTTTTGTTTTGTGGGATCTTCAGTGAAATTGTAATGACTGTAAAATGTTTTGATCAGTGTGCGCCGGCAAACGGGAAAAATATTAACAATAATATCATGTTTCACCTCCCCCTCTCATCATCACCCCAATCAGCTAGCACAGAGACCTTCCCTGATACCACGTTTCACTTGATTGACATCATGATAGGGAGGAAAAATTTATGTTAACTTTTACATATGTTACTTATGAAGAGGAGGCCCTTAAATAGATGCTGTCCTTGGACTCATGGGTGGAAATATGAACAGAAACTTAATTGCAAGCTGTTTAAAATTCTTACAGTATAATTAGATCATGGCAGCACGTCGCTCCAGTTAAATCGAACATTCTCTCTCGATAACCTGTGTGAATATAGTGTTGTATTTAAAGAAGCTGTCACTCTTATATGGTTGATTGATGAACGTGTAAAAATCGTATTGCATCATCGATGCAAAAAAACTGCAAACTCTCCTATAGTCATCCAGTAACTGCACTGTTTCAGTCAGTCGGTCAACTTTACGTCTGATTTACTGAGCGCTTAACATTTACATCATTAAAGCTTTGTTAATGTAATGTTTGAAGGTGGTTACAGTGGAACAGAAGTAAGCTTGCAAACTAGAAGCTGTGCTTTAAGTCAACGATACTTCTTCTGTAAATTAGCGTAAAGCCACTGGAGCTCCACTGTTGCTTAATTCACCAACCCAGCAAACTTAAGTAGTGGTTTTGCAGGAATAAATTAGTTTGACCTAAAAATCAACTTTCTGAGTTTAGCTGTTACAGTCGTACTTGGCTCATTGCTTTAGCAACTGTTCATCTGGGGCTGTATTACAGAAGTCTGAAATCTTATCTGCTCAGTCACCATGAAACTTTAGTTAGGACTAAATTTAGGACAGAAGATATTACAGAACAACAGTTCTTAAGTTTATAATCTAATCTTAACTCCAGATAAGAAAACCGTATTACAGAAACATCCTAACTAGACAAAATTTCCAAAATACTGTCCTGACTTTAAGATGAACCCCAGAACGTCTTACCTTCTGTTTAACCGTCAGTGTCAGGCAGCTCAGTTCACTATAACCAGCATAATGACGCTACATTTATCTACACTGAAAACTGAGCTTTGATTTCTGCGTTTTAAAGATCTCAGACGCTGCAGACTCCACTGTCCCTCTGATCACCTTCGTGTATTAATGTTGATGATGAAATATTACAGTGATGGTGGTGAATAATGAGGAGACGGAGCTGAACGTGTGTCTGTTTATTTGGAGGAGTAACGTTAGCGCGCTCGGCTAAAGCGTTTGGGAAATGGAGACTGAAACTGGGGAGCAGTGACGCTCTGATAAACAGCAGGGGGCGCTCTCACAGTATTCACACCTTACAGTTTATCACACTTTAGATTGTTTGACCCTTTTTTGCACATCAGTAACCGTTGCTAGCTGCCTGGCTAATTAGCCTGATTATCAAATCAAATCAAATCAAATTTATTTGTATGGCGCTTTTTACAACTGATGTCACAAAGCAGCTTCACAGAAATCCGTTTAGAACAACGTTTCAACATGAAATGTAAATCCTCCAGGTGAGCAAGCCAGGGGCGACAGTGGCCAGGAAAAACTCCCTCAGTTGAGGAAGAAACCTTGGGAGGAACCAAGGCTCACATGGGGGGACCCATCCTCCTCTGGTCAAACTACGTACAAAATTATTATTCTACTAATATTAATAGTAGTAGTAGTAATAGTTAGGAGACTTCAGTGTAGAGTGGGCAGCCAGTCCAAGGCAGGTGGCGGTGACTGGGTTGTGGGTAACTGGTCTGAAGCGGGTAGCCGGAGAGCTCTACAAACAATCATCCAGCAGTGTCCGGCCGGACAGGTGGGCAGTCGTTTTCTCAGAAGAAAGGTAGGGAGATGGAGTTAGTTTAGTTCTGTATGGGTGTATGTATAGTAGTATGTAAAACATTTCCAGAGTGTGGCTAACGACTCCGGCAGATCTGACTATAACAGCTTAACTAAAAGGAGAGAACCAAAAGGGCACACAGACACGGGAGCACCCTGAAACAATCTGGCATCCCTCCGCTCCACCGTCCACAAACCTGAGTGATCGCGTGCGAGCGGCGGGACGACAGCACCAGCGTCTCAGTTTACTATGATTCCCTGCGTCCATGGACCCCTGGATCTGCTGCCTTTATCCAAGGGGAAACATTAGCTACCAAAAGCAGCCAATGGAGTGATGATAGAACTGGACTGATATGATCAAATGTTCTAGATTAGTGAGAACCCTGGCTGCAGCATTTTGAACTAGTTGAAGTTTACTTAAATTCCTGCTGGTGCATCCTGACAGTAGTGCGTTACAGTAATCTAGCCTTGAGGTAATAAAGGCATGTACTAATGTTTCTGCATCGTGCAGCGATAAGGCATTTCTTATTCTGGCGATGTTGCGAAGATGTACAAAAGCTGTCCTAGTGATGCTGCCTATGTGTTGATCGAATGATAAATCTGGATCGAGTATTACACCAAGATTTTTTGCTGCTGAACCTGGTATAACTGGAAAGTCAGCGAGATTTAGAGTTAAATCTGATAATTTATTTCTTGCCACTTTTGGACCCAGAAGGAGAACCTCTGTTTTGTTACTGTTTAGGAGGAGGAAGTTACGCAACATCCAGCCTTTCACATCTTTTACATAGTCCTCTATTTTCTTTAACCTGTATGTGTTTACGTTTCAGCTGTACACGTATGGTCGGTTGCTAGGTAACTGACATGACAGTTGATTGCCTATTTCGATCGAGTAAGTTAAGATTTCCTAACTTGAGGTAAGAAAAGATGCTGTAAGATAAAATTCCTATATTAATATCAGATTTGCTTCTGTAATAAGAATTTGCGAAAAATCTTACCTTGACCTGTCAGATCTTAAGACAAAAAGATAGGAAGTTTCTGTAATACGGCCCCTGATGTACTTAAACAAACTGTAGTGTAAAGATGGTGTTGAGCAATTTGAAAGTAGAGTTTAGAATCACTGTCCGCTCCAATGAAACTGCATAGGCAGTTTAAAATGATAGAAAATGAAGGAGAGGCTGTGAGAACACTAAATATTTAGATACTTGGTTTTCTGTCCAATGAGGATCATAATTGAAAAATAATTTCATAATTTAACTTTTGTCATAATTTATATTTTCACTGATTGGTGCTGCTGCTGATAGAAAGAAGGGAATAATCAGAGCCAAGAAAGACTTTAGATAAACTATGCGTGAAAGTGGCTCAGTGACGGTTAAGAGCTACGCACAGCACAGAACAGGGTCAGTTTTAGCTTACATTTTAGTGGCATTTTAGCATCAGTTAGCTAGAACCATGTCCGACCTGTGTGGCATATTTGGCCTGCTAACTAAGCTCTCGTTAGCTTAGCCAAAACGCTACAGAACAGGTTCAGTTTCAGCTTTCTGTCACTCCAGCACCGGGCACTTTTATTCTCTCAGACCTTAGTTTTCATCATCTAAACTTGTTTCAGCAGAGCACCTGTTAGTCAGAATCAATCAGTACTGTGCTGTGTGGCACTGTTTGGGTCTGTAGCTGCTCGCTAAGCTAACGCTAAGTTCGCCGATCAAGATACAGATCCAGACACCACAGAATAAGTTTTACTTCAGCATTCTGTCCATTCAGCGCCAGTTGGTCAATTTCAGCCCCTCAGATTTGAATCGTTATCATCTAAAATTGTGTCAGTGCTTTCCGCCTAGTTAGCAGCACTGTTTACTATTTATTAATTTAGACAGATGATTTGACAGTTAATGAATGATGTCTTGAAAATTATGCACTGTTCCCCTGTTTAGTGACCATGTAAGCAACTTACTCTTCGTAACTTAGGACGTGCTGACTTGTCCGAATAAGCCTGTCATCTGAAGCCGGGAATTCGGTTACATCATACGAGACCGTATTTCTGCCTATTAATGTTAACCAGTTTATAAAGTTTATAAACGCCTGTTTTTCCCCGTTTTGTATTCTAATATTTTATTCTAACGCTGTTTGCTATCCGGTGTGGTCCAGAGGAGGATGGGTTCCCCTTCTGAGTCCTGGTTCCTCTCAGTGTTTCTTCCTCTTTGCTCTTAGGGAGTTTTTCCCTGCCACTGTCTCCATTGGCGACGCTCATGGGGGCTCAGACCCGGATTTTTCTGTAAAGCTGCTTTGTGACGACACCTGTTGTAAAAGCACGGTAACACTTTGCTGTAGGGTATGGTTCATAAGGCTACACGACACCTATATAAGCTTGTCATAACAACTGACATAACCCTATATAACGTGTATAAATGCTTATTCCAATAGACGTCATCTGTCATGAAGACTACTTTGATCAAATTGGCAAATGTAACATTTATGGCAAATAATGTCTGTTGGAATAAGCATTAATAAACATTTATGTAAGGTTATATCAGTTGTCATGACAAGCTTATGTAGGAGTCATGTAGCCTAATGAACTGTACCCTACAGTAAAGTGTTACCAAAAGCGCTATATAAATAAACTTTTACTTGACTAAAGTAGACGCATCGCTGCAGTCGGTAGTTATTGTTTGGATTATTTATGATCACTAATGTCATGTTATTCTCTGCATCGACATGCCAGTCATTTGTGACTTCACGTAACTTCTGGACAGGAACAGACTGGGAGCCGCAGTGTTTAACATTTCTGTGGAATTTTTCAACATTCAAAGTTTATTTTAACGAAAGTGTGCCCTGTTAAATGAAGTGGTGATTAACACACTAATTCTGTATGCAGTGTGAGGCTGGTGCATGTAGGCCAGTGTGCTTGTATGTTGACCCTACAGGACTCCTGTGATAAATTAGTGGTCTGTGCCCTTCTTTACCTTCTATCTGACCCCTTGTTGCCGCTTTCTTCTTGCACTGAAACACCACCAGCGTGTCCTAGGAAGCAATAAATCACCTGTGTGTCTCTGTCCCTACAGGAATAAGGAAACAAACCGGGATGAATTTATTTTCTACTCTAAGAGATTGATGAGGCTCCTCATTGAGCATGCCCTCTCCTTCCTGCCACTGAAGGTCAGCAGCCGCACACTCATCAGTGACCGCAGGTTTTTAACCTGTAGAGAATGAACTCAGTCACTAACATTTCTCATACTGGAGTAATGTGTCAGCAGACTCATTACATGAGAGCAAATTCATATATGCTGTAAGGAGTTCTTGACGTCAAAAATTTTGAATTAAGGGATTCTATTAATGGTGTCTTAACTTTTCTATTTTATTATTAGAATATTTGAAATACCACTCAGAGGTATTTGTCATATGTTGTGTAATTGATTTCCAAAGCTCTAACATGTCTTTAATTAGCGCTGCCCTTCCTTCACAGCCGGTGTCTGTCGAGACGCCCCAAGGCACCATATATGAAGGGAAAAGACTCAGTGGCAAAAGAGTAAGTGTTGAAGTTGTATAGAAAGCAGCTTTGGGTTTGGATTCTCTCAACATATTCTCGCTTTTCATTGTTTAAATAAAATCTTGTGTCTCCTAAATAGAAACTTTACAGAAGAAGGAAAAAATGCTCTTAACTTTTAATCTATATTAATGTAAAAAGATTTTTGGTAAATCATTTTGAATCATTACTTTTTGTTTATTTATCATGAAATTTTAGCACAATGCAAAGAGTCACTGGTGTTTTCAAGTTGTGGAAAAAAGCAAAGAACAGCAAAAATGGTGTGACAACGTTTTTGTGTGCGTGCAGGTTTCAAAAAGAGTTTTTAAAAGTGATGTTTTGTTGCTGAAATGCCTTAAAATTACAGTTTAAACAGGAAAATGCAAATACAGCAAGTTATATATAGTATAACATACACTGATCAGGCATAACATTATGACCACCTCCTTGTTTCTACGCTCATTGTCCAGCACTGCTGTGTCTGATCCACTCAGACCAGTGCAACACACACTAACACACCACCACCACGTCAGTGTTACTGCAGTGCTGAGAATGATGAAAATTTGCATCTTTTTTATTTATTTGGAAAAAAGTAGTTTTCCAGCTGACAAGGTTTCGGCGTATGTGAAAGTTCAAGTGTGTTAGAAAAGCATTCCGAGTGTGAGTGTAATTCTGACATCAAGACAGAAGTGGGCTACTTTTAAGAATCTAAAATATGATATTTTAATTTTATTATGTCACTGCATTATTACAGGTTTTTGTGGTTTGATGTCTTCACTTTTGTTCTAAACTGAGTAAAGATGATGCATCTTTTAGCTCAGAGTTTACAGTGTAATTTCATTATAAATAACTAAGGGAATCAGTTTTGTGTCGTCCCTGTTTCCCTCGTTCAGTACAGTAGCCCACATTATTACGCTTTTCACGATGCACTGCTGCAGTACCTACAGAGAAACATCCTATTTATGAGCTGCTTGTTCTCTCTGTGATTACAGGCATATTATTACCTCACACCGTTTCATTGTGTGTGTGCGCTTGTGTGTGTAGATCACTGGGGTGTCCATCCTGCGCGCCGGGGAGACGATGGAACAGGCTTTAATGGCCGTGTGTAAAGACATTCGACTGGGAAAGATTCTCATCCAGACCAACCATGACACTGGAGAGCCCGAGGTACTGAGCTTACAGCTTCTTAATCTTTTCAGACTTTTTTCGACACTAATGTTGGCATGTAATGTTTTTTTCATGTATAAGTCAAGAATTCTTAGTAGAAGAGCTGTACATCAACATAAATATCTACTTTTAATTGAAACTAAAGATGCACTGATGTATAATTTCTCAGCTGATAACAGATAATTAACACCATGTGACTGATACCAAAACCCGGTAATTAACGATGATGTGAGACCAATGAAACAAATAAATAATAATTATTATATATAATAATTATTCCCTGATACCCCCCCTTTTTGCTGAATTCACTGTACTGGCATGCAAACAGTGCCCTCTGCTGGCCATGAGACTTCAGCCTGGTTCAGTTCACTTTTTTAAATATTCACATTCAGTTCATATCTTGTATGGACAGTCAGAGCTTCTTACTTATAAGTGTTGAAAAATGACAAATATGTGATGAAAATATGGCAAAAATGTAAAAGTCACTTTAAAAAAAAAACTTTACCCTCAAAAACTTCTACATACAAACACTGGACAGTTTAGAATCCACACAAAATGAATTCTTCGTTATGAGTGAAATTGATTAATATGAAATTGCAGCATGCATTTGCTGTCCCTGGTGATTCATGCAGCCTCTGTAGACTAAGATGTAAATCCTTTTCAAACGTGACCTTGTGCTGTAGCAGGTCATCACTCATTACATCTTCTTTCCAGGTAGAGTAATATCATCAAAGTTAAACATTCTACAGATTGAAAATAAATAATAAAGTACATAAATATTATTCTGGTACCCTGGATGTTTTCCCTAGCCTGTGTGTAAAGAAAGTTTGGTCTGGTTAAACAATGTTTTCACAGTTTGTGTCTATCCTGGTCTGATTTGCTCCTCAGCTCCATTACCTGCGCTTACCCAAAGACATCAGCGAGGACTACGTGATCCTGATGGACAGCACAGTGTCCACAGGGGCTGCTGCTCTCATGGCCGTCCGAGTCTTACTCGTAAGTAGCCGTTCATCCTGAATCCACTGCTTTTATTTCTCTTTCTGTTTTTGAGTTGCATAGTTACTAAATGTCTGACGTTTCTGTTGTCCCAGCATATATTTAACTAAAAAGCACACAGGGCTCACAGAGTGGGCATCCTGACATCCCAGGAGGCCTGTCACTTTAAATTGTTTGACCAATTTGACCAGATAACATGAATTAAACAAAATGCTAAGAAAGTAAGAGGCAACAGTTTAGCACAATGAATCGCACATAATTATACTACAGTATTTTGGTATAAGTATCCACACACATGATTCACGTCATTTACCTCATAAAATTACTACACAGATCGGCCAAAAGCATAATAATAAATGGCGTCACTGATGATTGTGTGTTCGGAGCAAAAAATCAGCCAGTTATCGTCAGTTGTGCATAAATTGCATTACGCTGTTCATAAATGTAAATAATTATGAGCTGTCTGTTAGCTGTGTTTTGGAGCAGCTTGCTGACTTGGAAACAGTAAGTGAACAATTAACTAGTTTTAGTTTTGTTTTGTCCAGTTTTGGAACATTATGTTGGGATTTCAGTGCAAAAATGGAACCATTAAAAAACTGTTTCTGCTTAAATTGGACCGATTTGTTTTTCATTCTGTTTCTGAGCCCTAAAGACCATTTTTAATAAATATAACCAGAATATGATGAAGAGTAGAAGGCAGATCCTAGACCAGCGCTAGCCATGCAGCGATAAAGCAGAGAGGCAAAGAACATTTAAAGTATGACAGATAACACAAAAGACACTGAGTCCAGCTGGGAGATAAGCGGCGGCCTCTGAGTCTGCAGGGGGAAATGATAAGAGCTCCTGCTTTTCCCATTTTCACCCTATTTTTGCAGGAACCCGATATGCACTGCGTTCTACAGGATCTTTGACCTCACTCTTGCAAAAAGCACATGTACCTGTCCAGCTTTGCTTTTGTGATGACTGAGGACAAAGTCCAGCGCAGAAAGAGAGCATGCAGGCGTTTTTCCCCCAAAGAGCCTGGAAAAGGGAGAGATAAATACTATTAAACAAATTCAGAGATATCTACTGAAATGAGCCTAAATGTACTTGAATGAATCATTAAACTGTCTGCTTTTCATCCACACCACTTACAGCACAGTATTATTGTGTGCATTCCTGCATTTTGCAGTTATGTAAGTGCTAAGCTTGTGTAAACGTCATAGATGATATCCCAAAGATACAGCATCACAGTACTTGCAGAAAGTTTTTTCTGGGGTTTGCAAACAAAATGCACCAGCAAAACATTAGTTTCATTTTTACAAAAGGCTATGAAAAACATTTAAATGATTTTTCTTACGTAGACTAAAACAGTGTTTAAGAAGGAACAGGAGGAAAATCTTAGCAATTGATAAAAATGATTTAATAAACCAAGATCATGCTATAATGGACTGACATCCAATTAGCTTCCTATTACTGTGTAGTTTATGTAGTTGGTAATATCACTCAGCCCTACTACAAACATGTCACACCCAAAGAAATCACCACAAAAACTAAATAAAAGTCCCAGGTAGAAGATTTACACAGAGTCATTCTGTTCCTGCTTCCTATGTGAGTTAAAATGGGGCTGCTCTTTTTTTCCCTCCCTCCAAACGTTCTCCAGTCCTTGAGCTGGTTGTCACTGTGCTGTCAGGGCTGGTTCAGCCTTGGTGAGTGAGTAATGTCTCTGTGAACTGTGTCCTTCCCTTGGTTTTAGGACCACGATGTTCAGGAGGATAAGATTTTCCTGCTGTCTCTGCTCATGGCAGAAATGGGCGTCCACTCGGTGGCCTACGCCTTCCCCAAAGTGCGCATCATCACCACGGCTGTGGACAAGAAGGTCAATGACGAGTTTCACATCATCCCAGGCATTGGTGAGCTGGTCTGCCTGTTAATGGGATACTTTAATAAAAAAAGTCTAACCTAATAGCTGATAGAGGCAGTTTTAACATGGTGAGATTTTCGTCCGTCTGAATATGAGCCTTTGCGGCTGCAGAATCCGGTTTTGTGCACAGACGATGGCAAATTAGAGATGGAAAGAATGCAAAAAAAGTCAAGAATATTCATAGAATAAAAAGTGAGATCTAACATATTATATCAGAATTGATTATACACTGAAAAACAACACATTGGATCCTTGACTAGACCCAGGTGTCTATTTAAGGACAGCACAAATTATATTAAAAGTAACACAGCCAGGGCTCTGAACCAGTATGAGGAACGCAAACATACACCAGAAATACAGAATTTTGATAGGAATAAATGCAACCAAAAGCATAATCATCACTCACTGTTCAGGAAGAAATGTGTTAATTTAAAATCTCTGTTAGGGGTTAATAACATTTGTTTTTATTCTGTTTAGCCCACTTGCTTATTAGTTGTCTTGCCTCCAAATTCGCAAATGTTTTTGGATCAACATGATGTATCATGAGATTACATTCAGTGTATCATTTCATAAGTTTTTATGGTATGTATATGGTGCTTTTTACCCTTAGACTATAGAATAAGTACAACCCCAATTCCAAAAAAGTTGGGACGCTGTGTAAAATGTAAATAAATTTAAATAAAAACAGAATACAATTTACAAATCTAATAGACCCATATTTTATTCACAATAGAACACAGAACACATATAAGACGTTGAAAGTGAGACATTTTGCCATTTCATGAAAAACATTAACTCATTTAGGGCTTGATGGCTGCAACACATCTCAAAAAAGTTGGGACAGGACCGAGTCTACCACTGTGTAGCATCCCCTCTTCTTTAACAACAGTCTGTAAACATCTGGGAAGTGAGGAGACCAGTTGCTGGAGTTTTGGGAGAGGAATGTTGTTCCATTCGTGTCTGATGTGGGATTCTAGCTGCTCAACAGTCCTGGGTCTTCTTTGGGTCTTCTTTGCCGGATTTTTCGTTTCATGATGCACCAAATGTATGTGGTTTAGCATTGTCCTGCTGAAATTTGCAAGGCCTTCCCTGAAAGAGACGCTGTCTGGATGGGAGCATGTTCTAAAACCTCTATAGACTGTTCAGCATAGAGCCTTTCCAGATGTGTAAGCTGCCCATGCCATAGGCACTAATGCAGCCCAGACCATCAGAGATGCAGGCTTTTGAACTGTGCACTGATAACAAGCTGGATGGTCCCTCTCCTCTTGAGTCTGCAGGACACGCCGTCCGTGGTTTCCAAAAAAAATTTTGAATTTTGATTCATCTGCCCACAGAACAGTTCTCTATTTTGCCTCAGTCCATTTTAAATGAGCTTTGGCCCAGAGAAGACGGCAGCGTTTCTGGATCATTTCGACATATGGCTTCTTCTTTACGTGATACAGCTTTAACTTGCGTTTGTGGATTGGACGGCGAACTGTGTTCACAGACAGTAATTTCAGGAAGTGTTCCTGAGTCCATGCAGTGATTTCCAGTACAGAATCATGCCTGATTTCAATGCAGTGCTGCCTGAGGGCCCGGAGATCACAAGCATCCAGTATGGACCGTCAGCCTTGTCCCTTGCAGACCGAATTTTCTCCAGATTCTCTGAATCTTTTGATGATATTATGTACTGTAGATGGTGGGATTTCCAAAGTCTTCACAATTTTATGTTGAGGAACAATTTTATTCTGAAATTGTTCTACAATTTTTAGAAACAGTTTTTCTCAGATTGGTGAACCTCTGTCCATCTTTGCTTCTGAGAGACTCCGCCTAAAATGCTCTTTTTATACTCAGCCATATGCGTTAGTTGCAAACTGCTTTGTTGAGATGCGTTGCTGTTCTAAATGATTTCTGAAGTTCTAAGTGAGTTAATGTTTTTCATGAAATGGTAAAATTTCTCACTTTCAACATCTGATATATGTTCTATGTTCTGTTGTGAATAATATATACATCTGTGAGATCTGGTTTTTATTTACATTTATTTGCATTTCACACAGCGTCCCAACTTTTTTGGAATTGGGGTTGTACATAGTCACAACTTTAAGTAGAGGATGGTGCTCTTTCACATGATTTTGTTTGTCACGTCATTATGCAAGAAACCATATAGCCAGCTAGCATGTTGTGCATTTTTAATGGGAAATTTACTTGCATACAACATTGCATTGGGATTTACATTTAGTAAACTGTTAGTAAACATTTAGTAATTGCTATTAAGGGCTAGTTGCTATTAAAGCAGTTTACAGTAAAATTCCATTGCCTATGTAGGTGAAAATGTCTATCCTTGCAAACTCAACTGTCTAGTAGCTTTTCAAACCTACGATCCAAACATAAAAATTGTTTATATTAGACCTGCATACAGCCTTGTGTAAGAAACAGAATTAACCCTTTTTCCTCCTTCATTTTGTTCTAAACTGTTTAGGAACATTAAAATATTGGTTCTGCTCAGAGTGAACCGACTGATTTGTTTCTGAGGCCTGGTTACAACAGATATTTAACACCTTATTTATGAGAGTGTACCAGAAAATAATGTGACAGCCAAGCCTGTGTTCCCTAAATATCACCAATAAATAAAAGATATGTTGAAGCCTTTTGACATGATATAATTTGAGTGATCGAAACACCCTGATGGACTGATGGACTGATCCAAAGCTCTGTGTTTTTGCAGGTAATTTTGGAGACCGGTATTTTGGAACTGATGCTCCTTCAGACTGGTATGAGAGCGATGAGGGAATGGACTACTAAGGCTCAGTTACAGGATGTGCTTGTGTGTGTGTTTGGAAGGGGGTATGGGGGGGGTGGGGGTGGGGGGGGATCAGAAAAGCACTTATTCTCTCATGACTGTGGCAGTGACTGCTGCCTGTCTGCTATATGAACCATATCAGGCTCCACATCTGCACCGGTCTCACTACACCACGCTTTCAGAGATCAAACCGTGTTCTCACCCCGAGAGACGGGTGCCGTTCTCAGCTTTGCTTGAAGTGCCTGTGTGAGTGTAGAGTAAGTAGTTTCAAATCTCTTCTTCAAGGGAACCAGCATCAACACTGACTCAGCTTTGGCTGCACCTGAAGGAGGTAACGGCTCAGCCGACGTTGAAAGGACCTTCACGCCCTGTTCACACTTGGTATTAACATTCGTCTCGAGTGTTCTGACCATAAATGGACTTGAATGCATTTCTAGTGACCTTTTGTTTTTTTTCTGGAGGAAGGGTGCGACACATATTTACTACATCAGTCTTTCACTTCAATTGTAGTCAGACAAAAATGTCCCATGAGTCCCGGCTCATGTAAGGGCTGCTACATATGTTTAGATCGTGCAGATTGCTAATGCAGCTTATAAACAAACAGGAGAGGAGGTGAAGATACTAAGCAAAGCAGCTGTTTCTGTCTCTGCAGTTGATTAGACTGTCCTTTGTTGGAGTCGAACACACTGGGACGCTTTAGCATTCACATCATGATTAAGTGACCCTTATTAGTCCTAGAAATTTCAGCTGTGCGAAACACCACGTACACACTCGTGAACACACACACACTAGTGGGCAGTGAGTACACTTGCCCGGAGCGGTGGGCAGCCCTATCCACGGCGCCCGGGGAGCATTTGGGGGTTAGGTGTCTTGTTCAAGGGCACTTCAGTCACGTACTGTTGGCTTAGGGGATCAAGCCGGCGACCTTCCAGTCACAGGGCTGGTTCCCTAACCTCCAGCCCACGACTGACCAAGTGTTGTCATCATACCTGTCCCTCACCACCTCAGAAGGTGGTTTGCATGATTGGATTATAATGCATCTCAAAGATGACCAACCTATACTCGGCGCCGTCCACTTATGATCGGATCATCCCGGACGTGTGTTAGTGCCAGGTGTAAATGATAAATCAGTGAACAGGTATGTAGTGAATGAAACATAGAGAATATATAGAGGATGATCTGACGTTGAGTTAGCTTTGATACCGCATTTCAGACACTTGAATTTTAGAGTAGGGGGAGTATCAGACGTAGTCAGTGCAGAGGGATGAATGTGTTGTCGTTTTTCGCAAGATTATGCCTTTGTGTTTCCTCTACAGCAAATTAGTATTAGTTTAATTAGTGGGGTTTGTTTTTGTGTGCAACAGTGCAAAAGGGATTTCAAAGCCTTTTGGCTAGACCTTTTAAAGGAAGTGCGTTCTGAAATGGTGTCCAAAGGAAAGATATTTTCCAGTTTTACAGTTGAATGCAAAAGTTTGGGCGCCCCTGGTCAAATTCCTTGTTTTGTAGCTTTTCTGTGTGAAAATAAATTTAATTATCCTCTCCAGAGAAACACTCATGCACTTTTTAATGCACAGTTACTGTTTGTTTTCAGGATTTAACATATTGGGGAAAAATAACTATGGCACATTATATTTTTATGTAGGAATTTTGCACTAAAATTTGCTGAAGGTTTATTTCCTGTAGAGGATGCGTTTCTTATTTTCAAAAACAAATTCAACAACACACGTAACTTGACTGGGGGTGTTCAGAATTTGCACGTGACTGTAGTTGCGCTCAGTACCACTTGAGAGAACAATTGTAGGTGTAGAGAGATTTTGCTGCCATTTCCAGGTCGACATACTTGAATAACTATTTAAATGTAGATAATGTATTTAATATTTGTTAGGTGCCTCGACGGGTGGCAGTGCTGAAATAAATGAAATTGCAAATTATTTGAAAACGTTGGGTAGGATGTCTGATGGATAAATAAACACAAACCATTTTATCACTACTGTGCTGATGTTATACAGCCACGTAGAACCACCCTAAAGCACGTAAGCGTTGAGTTTGGCTCTGAGATTTCACAGCATGTGAATCAGCCACTGTCGTTTTCAGTGTCTTGACTGCTTAATGAACCTCCACAGTTCATTTGAACACACTGACTAATATGGCTTAAACTTGTACATGGGAAACAGATCAAAGTCCGACTGAATTCACAGAGCTAATCAAGGTGATGCTGAAATTCCATAGTTTTTTTATTTTTTTTTATTTCAAAATTTCTGTAAAATTAAATGGTTAAACTGTAAACAAAGTAATTCGGAATATATTGGCGTCAAATTAGTAATCCTAGAGACACTCACAGAGAGAGCACTGTTACAGTGGTAATGGGAACCAGACATCTAAGAGCAGAAAGTTTTTACATGAAATTATGAATGTTTTTTTTATGTCTGAGATGCTATTTTTTATGGTAGTTTTGCAGTAAAGTTTTTGCCTAAAACGTTTTTAAAAGGATTCATGGTGAAGGTTTCTTCCCTAAAGAAAACTCACTCAAAAATTCAAAACTATATTAAAAAGTATATTTTGATTTATTATTAATTTACCACAATCACAAAAACAGATGTGCAGGTTCACTGGTTTTGGATGGTAAATAAAATGGCTGTATCTGCTTTGTAGGCATGGTGACTCCTGGTTCCTATCACCACCACTGTGAAGACGTCTGAGTCTCTACAGTGAACCATTTCACATCAAACCAGTCTGAATGACTTTGTTTACATCTCATCATCAGATCATGTGTTAAATGTGATTTTCATATTAACCACCCAAAAATATTGTTTTTAAAGACTGGGTTCAATATGCATGTAAAACTGGCCCGGCACTGCTGAATCCATGTTTAGCTTTAAAGAGGAATGTTACACATCAGTTAAATCAGATGTGCAACACAAACGACGTCGACTTCATTGTGTGTTTATGTATTTGGACTCCAGCCCCTCAGACACGTGTTGGGATTGGGTGCTTGTGTTTTTAGACTCGCTGTTCCTTATGTTTACTCTGTGCTCAGTGCTTTAATATTTGTAAACACTTCATGACATCTTAGAGATTCAATCTCATTACTTGACAGTTTTAAACTTGAAGATTTACTGGTTACATTGTCCAAACGCATTTTTATTTTATTTATATGTATTTTTCCATTCAGAGCTGTCGCTGCACAAATGAAATATAAGCGTTCTGTTATACTTTTTTCATGTCTCAGTTTTCCAAAGCCATTCCAGTAATGCCAAGCAGTGATATTTCTTTGATATAAGCGCAATAAAGCATCTTGAGCTCATCCTTGGAGCGTGTTTGTGCTTAATACATTGTTCATATAATATTGTATTTTGTTGTATGTTGTAACATTTAGAATATATTTGGAATACATATTGATGAGGCAGATGCTGATGTAATCTGTACTTAATTCACACTGTTCCTCGCTGTTACTGATGGCAGTTTTCTTATGTTTTATGAATAATTCAATGATTTAAATGAAGTTACAACATTCCACTGCTGTTCCAGTAATTCCACTACTGTCTTATGAACTAAGCAAACAATTTGCCATATACCAGTAACAGTTAATGACATGTGACTTTCCACAAAATGCATGTATGAGTCCAGTACAGCACCGATGCTAAGCTCATCACTTGTGAACATGTTCACTACTGTTCAGTTCCATCCCTCAGAGTTCAGTAACGCTGAGATTAATAACTGATCACATTGATTTATCAGTCTACTCAGGCTTTAGCAGAGCTCAGTAACACTGAGATTAATAACTGATCATCACATTGATTTATCAGTCTACTCAGGCTTTAGCAGAGCTCAGTAACACTGAGATTAATAACCGATCACATTGATTTATCAGTCTACTCAGGCTTTAGCAGAGCTCAGTAACACTGAGATTAATAACCGATCACATTGATTTATCAGGCTACTCAGGCTTTAGCAGAGCTCAGTAACACTGAGATTAATAACCGATCACATTGATTTATCAGTCTACTCAGGCTTTAGCAGAGCTCAGTAACACTGAGATTAATAACCGATCACATTGATTTATCAGTCTACTCAGGCTTTAGCAGAGCTCAGTAACACTGAGATTAATAACTGATCACATTGATTTATCAGTCTACTCAGGCTTTAGCAGAGCTCAGTAACACTGAGATTAATAACCGATCACATTGATTTATCAGTCTACTCAGGCTTTAGCAGAGCTCAGTAACACTGAGATTAATAACTGATCATCACATTGATTTATCAGTCTACTCAGGCTTTAGCAGAGTTCAGTAACACTGAGATTAATAACCGATCACATTGATTTATCAGTCTACTCAGGCTTTAGCAGCAACTTCAGAAGTCTTTTGCGTTCTTCTTTAGAGCCTGTCTTTAGGTTCTGTGCTCTGATTTTAAAATAGTTAATAAGCAAGAACTGATGGTGTTCCTTTTTAAGACGGTATGTTTTTAATTTAGTGGGTAAGTATTCTAAAATGTAAATGTGTCTTTACAAAGTATAACTTTGAACTTAATTTCTTTATTCTGTCAAAATAAACCGACTGAATACAGATGCTTAATTTCTGTGTTCTAAATGTGTATTCAGAATACTTGTATTCTGTTACAGCCCAGCCCTGTCATTTTTAAGGTGAACGGTGGTTTTAGACAGGGTCTGAAATGTTTTTCAAGGTGGGAAGTCATCACACCTTGATCAAAGATAAAGGAAAACAAAAATGTGTCTTTTAAATGATACTGAATTAAGAATCTGGCTTGATATGAACAGTGAGGTGAACTAGCAGTGTAAAAAATGTCCCTTTATAATTTAAGGCTTATTTTAAGATTTCTTTCAAAATAAAAGTTTCATGTTGTAATTTGTGTTAGAAAAAGCACAACCGAAACGCGCAGCCGCTCTCTGTGCGTTTTAGTTTGGAAATAAAGGCCCATTCGACAGACCTCGTGTTGCTAATGACAGTCACACTGTCCAGGTCAGCTTGGCCAGATTCCACAAGCGTGTGTTCCGTAGAGACTTCAGCGAGGGTGAGTTTGATTCATTTTGCCGAACCGATTCTTTCGAACTGCAGGTTTGAATGAATTGAATGTCCGATTCAGTCATTCATTTGATCACATTTGAGCATTGGTTAATTAACGGCTCGTCTTTCAAAATAAAGGCCTTTACATCTATTCGGACAGTAAATTAATTAAACCACGTTAAGGTTATGGCTGACGGTATACTGCCCAACGCGATTTTTCAGAAGGCGAAATGGGATTATTTATTATAATTATTTTATTTAGCCTCTGTTTAATTTTTACGAACTTCGGCTGGTGACAAAAACTCACTGACAGATCAGAGTCGTCTCTGCTTTAACGGCCTTAATAAAGAAGTTCGACTTTGACTGAATTAATGGATCACTGAAAATCAATTGGTTAAAATCTTTTGTTACAGACAAAACAAATTCCAGAGGCGTGGTGGAATTGATTTAATGAGGAAACGTGATTTTAACCCACTACCCACTGAACTGTCCTTATTCCACCAACAGGTTCTGTTATATTGGGAAATGATCTACAGTCACAGTTTCACAACTCATAACACTCCTATCTGGAACAACTGAGGTGTTACTTACAGACTCGAATCACTGTTCATTTCTGAGTGGTTTGAAAAGGGAATATGGTCAACATCACATGTTTCAGATTCAAATGTAATGTTTGGTCTTATCAAGATATTTGCAAGGAGTTTAACTTGATTTGCGGACAATACGGTCATTAAGGCAGTTCCACAAGCTGTGTTTGACTTCAGGACACCGACCCTCAACTTCCCCAGCTCTTAATACAAGGAACAGAATTTTTACATGCAAATTTTTCCAATAACATTTGTAGGAGCTGTTTCAATAGGATACTGTACCCAAATGTTTCAGAAGTTCTTCTTTTTTCCCCAAAAGATTATATATGTAAGCCCAGATATATGTATATTACATTTCCTGCCCCCCCCCTCCCCCAAAGGCCGAGGAAGTTCATTTCAAAATAATGAATGGAAAATATCCATCTAAAGAGTTTCTGAGACAAAGGTTTAATTTGGATGAAAATGTTTGTGTTTTCTGTAAAGAAGATTTTGAAACAACTGAGCATTTACTTGTTTCTTGTAAGTGCTGGAACACGTTTCGGGATGATTTACAGTATTGGTTATACGCAGAGATTGTGGGTTTGAGTGAGTTTACAAAGGCAGATATTCTAAATGGAAAGTTTTTCCGAGACGCAGATTCTGAAATGGTTGTAAATGTTATTTTACTGTTAGGAAAATGTTTCATACATAAAGTAAAGGAAATGAAATCAACACCATCCTTTTACGTTTTTCATAAGGTGCTCATGTTCTATTTTGGTACCTTACAGTGCATGAAAAAGAAAAATGCCAAAAAGTTACTAAAATAAAAGTATGAAAATGGTTTGAAAGACACTGGGGAGCAACTGTGTCTCCCCTAACACCCCCCCTTTTTTCCAGTGTATTACTATTACCATTATTATTTATTTATTTTTTCATTGTTTTTTTGTTGTTTTTTTTTATATGGTTACTTGAATTTACCGACTGCTTCGGTTTGTGTGGAGTAAACAAGTGTGCACTGCATTGCCATTACTGCTTGTACATTGATTGCATTAGTTCGAATCAATTCGGCTTGTGATTCGGGTAGACCGAATCATTGGAAAGAGTCGGTTCAAAAGAATGATTCGCTCGCGAGTCGGACATGGCTGGTACAGCGGGAAGGAGCTACAGACATGAGAACTCAGTGGCTAACGTGTCAGTTAGCTAACGCGGTGCCTGCAGTTGTAAACAAACTCCTGTAGCTTTAATCAGTGTTACAGCCCGTTAATAAACACGGATAGCTGTGTTTATTAACACTTCACATGAGGGGACAGGTTAGGAAACTGACCGCTAAATAACAGATACTCGGTCAGCTCGGCCGCCCTCAACTCACCCTCAGAAGGTAGGACCCGATATTAGTTATAGCTTATCAATAACGTACCGTTCCAATGTATTATAAACTACCCGAGCCTGTCTGTGAGCTGTAGCTGCTCACTACCCGCTTTACCCGCCGAGCTGTAGCTCAGTCCGTGCTGAGGTCGGCTCGGCCAGCTTCTCCCTGAAGGTCGGCGACCAAAAACACCTCTGAGGCTCCACTGGAGTTTAAAATGGGCGGAAATGCACCAGTTTAACGACAAAGGGACCGACTTTTTAGAGTTTCTCCGTAATTAAGCGGTTAAGATGTTTCATCCAGACTAACCTCCAAACCCGAACTTCCTCTCAGTGGCGGTGAACGGAACCAGGGCTGCAGACCTGCAACACAAACACATTCATTTACTTTTATTTACTGTCCAGTGACCAGTGACCAGTGACCACACTCGGGGCTCCTCTGTCTGATGTCGGTAAGGGAAACAGTGGCAGATCCGAAAAAGAAAGGACAAAAAAGTTTTCTTTGGTTCTACTTTGCCCTACAACGCCCTGTGTGTCTCTCCGCCACGAATGGCTAAATACGCGGTTTAGGCCAGGACTGCACAGCTCCGGTCCTGGAGGGTCGGGGTCCAGCGCAGTGTTGTAGCCCCCCTACTCAAACACACACTAAAGAACCTGGCGGTTCACAGATGAAGTGAATCACACGACGGTGTTCAGGGCCACTGTTACTGAAAACGGAAGTAGTAGACTTCGAGAATAAGGTCTACTATTTGGAGGATAAAGTGGGCTGCTGTACTGTAGGGGGGCTGCCATAACGGGTTGGGGTCTCGGTTGCTGTACTGTAGGGGGGCTGCCATAACGGGTTGGGGTCTCGGTTGCTGTACTGTAGGGGGGCTGCCATAACGGGTTGGGGTCTCGGTTGCTGTACTGTAGGGGGGCTGCCATAGCGCGTTGGGGTCTCGGTTGCTGTACTGTAGGGGGGCTGCCATAACGCGTTGGGGTCTCGGTTGCTGTACTGTAGGGGGGCTGCCATAACGGGTTGGGGTCTCGGTTGCTGTACTGTAGGGGGGCTGCCATAACGCGTTGGGGTCTCGGTTGCTGTACTGTAGGGGGGCTGCCATAACGGGTTGGGGTCTCGGTTGCTGTACTGTAGGGGGGCTGCCATAGCGCGTTGGGGTCTCGGTTGCTGTACTGTAGGGGGGCTGCCATAACGGGTTGGGGTCTCGGTTGCTGTACTGTAGGGGGGCTGCCATAACGCGTTGGGGTCTCGTTGCTGTACTGTAGGGGGGCTGCCATAACGCGTTGGGGTCTCGGTTACTGTACTGTAGGGGGGGCTGCCATAACGCGTTGGGGTCTCGGTTGCTGTACTGTAGGGGGGCTGCCATAACGCGTTGGGGTCTCGGTTGCTGTCCTGGTGCCGGAGCTCCACTCACTCCTGTCTCTCTGTGGATCATTTTGATCATCATTCTCACTGTCTGTGAAACTTCATGCCCTCTTTGAATGGGGGGAGATGGAGCCCCCGATAGCCGTGTAGATGACCCTGCCTGAGATTCTCTTTCAACAACACAGACAGACAGTTTCCTCCGAGTCCGTCTGGCTCTTCATTCTAGATAAACACAGTTTCCTGCTCAGCCGTTTCAGCCGGTTCTTATCCTAATAACAGGCTGGTGCTGCTGTGCAGGAGAGACAGGGAGACTGAGTGTTTCTTTATGGGTGAATCGATATGAACGTAGAACTCCACCAACTCACCGCCCCTCATTTAACACCAGGAGGGGCTGCCTTCGCAAAGCCTTGGGCCTCAATGTTGCGACCTTTAACAGTGGCCCTAAAACGCCGTCATAGAATCAGGTGTTTTTGATCAGGAAAGTCACCAAACTGTGCTGGACACTGGCTGTCCAGGACCGGAGTTGTGCAGCCCAGGGTTTAGACCAAAGCTGTAAAACTGTCTCAGGCATCAGAATAACATATGTTTGATACCTTTCTGTGAGGGAGCTTTTAGAAGCATAAAACTCTCCAGACGTCTGGTTCCCATCACCACCACTGTGAACAATTCTGACTTCTTAAGTTTCTCTAGATCAGAGTGTTTCATGTCAAACCTTTTTGAACTATTGTGCAAAAAATGTAAAATCAGTGTAATGCCCCTTTAAAGCATAGCTAAGTAGAGTCAGTTCATGCTACAGGCTCATCTCTGCAGAATTAGTTTTGTGAAGAGAGCTGTCGACCACATGCTGCTCATTACAGACTTTAAACTCCTAACCAGGTTTAGTTTTAGATTAGATTAGATTCAACTTTATTGTCATTGTGCAGAGTTACAGGTACAGAGCCAAGGAAATGCAGTTAACATCTAACCACAAGTGCAAAATACAGTATTATTTAGATATAAAGTGAAGAAGGACGGTATAGTGGTAAAAAAATATAGACATACAAGTATAAATGTGTGTGTGTGTGTATATATATATATATATATATATGTATATATATATATATATATATACACATTTATAAAAAAAAAAAAGATCAGGCATAACATTATGACCACCTCCTTGTTTCTACGCTCATTGTCCATTTTATCAGCTCCACTTACTTTAGTGTGTGTTGTGCTGGTGCGAGTGGATCAGACACAGCAGTGCTGCTGGAGTTTTTAAACACTGTGTCCACTCACTGTCCACTCTATTAGACACTCCTACCTTGTCAGTCCACCTTGTAGATGTAAAGTCAGAGACGATAGCTCATCTGCTGCTGCACAGTTTGTGTTGGTCATCCTCTAGTCCTTCATCAGTGGTCACAGGACGCTGCCCACAGGACGCTGTTGGCTGGATATTTTTGGTTGGTGGACTATTCTCAGTCCAGCAGTGACACTGAGGTGTTTTAAAACTCCAGCAGCACTGCTGTGTCTGATCCACTCACACCAGCACAACACACACTAACACACCACCACCACGTCAGTGTTACTGCAGTGCTGAGAATGACCCACCACCCAAATAGTACCTGCTCTGTGGGGGTCCATGGGGGTCCTGACCACTGAAGAACAGAGTAAAAGGGGGCTAACAAAGTATCAGAGAAACAGATGGACTACAGTCTGTAACTGTAGAACTACAAAGTGCACCTATATAGTAAGTGGAGCTGATAAAATGGACAATGAGTGTAGAAACAAGGAGGTGGTCAGAATGTTATGCCTGATCAGTGTATATATACATACCTCTTACTTGAGCTGTTCTAGCCACGACTACGCTGCACATTTTCTTGCTGTTTTTTAGTTTCTGTAGGATACAGTTGCATCATTCAGGAGAGATTCAGGGACTCAGATAAATATGGCTTATTTATATATTTTAATATATATTTATATATTGGCCTAATTTAAACCTCATTAATGGTACAGCTGTGTTTGTGGTATGCCCGTTTGTCCTGTTTTTTAGAACAGCAATGTTTCCTTGTCCATCTCCTTCCAGAGATTCCTGCTTCCAGATCTTCACCAGCTCTGTTTGTGAGAGAAGAGCATGGCAGGCCTCTGGAGGTCTTACCAGGTGTTAATGGCCAAACGTCCATGGACTGTGCAAATCATAACAGCTGGTAAAAAACCCACAGTCTCCCGTCTCCACACACACTTCAGCCTCCTCATCTAAAATTAGTCTGTGTTTTCTAGACCCCTTTAGGTCGACTCTATCTCAGCAGCCGTGTTATTCGCTGTAGGTAAATATTTGCCTATTCTGCTATAACGGCATCAGAGCAGGCACCGTGAGTTTGGGTGGTGTTCCACAGTTCCAAAATAGAAGGATGGTTGTCCTTAGTCAACATTTAATTTATTTTACTGCTTATCTTACACTCCCATGTACTGAGCAGGCGTCATGGAACACAGCCTCTACAGAAAGCTGTTTCCTGTAATTCACTTAATTTCCTTTTCTTTAACTGCCAGAAGGATCAGCTTTTAAATTCAGAGAATAACTGCACTTTCAACACTTTTGACTGACATAGTCTGATTTTTCTGGACAAATCCTTGTCATCACTCTCAAAATCAGTGGTAATTTGTTTTTTTAACATGCACTTGCACTCTTCTGCCACAAGATGGCAGTGAATAACAAGGCTTTGAATAGGACCAGTTAGTCATTGGAAAGTTTGATGATGTCATTGATTAAGTTAGATTTTTAAGTCAAAATTGTTTTGATATATAAGCCTCGACTCAGTGCTCTCTCAGATGTGAACTACACATACATTCAGATGTGCAGCCATGCAAAAAACTTTGTATCGCTCTTTTTCATTTTTGCATAATTTGAAAAGTCCAGTTGTATTTTGCCTTGTCAGGCTTTCATGATGACCTGACCAACAGAAATTCTCCATTTATTTCACTGACAAGACAAAATAGGGAAGATAATTGATGTTTTAATATCAGAATCAGATCAGTATTGGCAGATAATTGTCTTAAAAGATCATTGATTATGGACAGCTGTTTGTTTGGGTGGTATTTTGTATACATTATTAGACATAGTACCAATCTGGTACCATGTATTGGTCAATATTCGTAAAAAATGCTGGATCTAAAATCTAGCCTGACTCAGCACTCACTCAGATGGTGTGATGTCATGTTAGCTGTGTGTGTGAGTAGTTTGAGAAAGCCTACGTTTACATGCCCATGAAATGCTTCAGTTAAAAATATCTAATTTTAAAGTTTAGGAGTTTTTAAAAAAGAAATATTTTATCAGTATCCGCCAGCACACGAAGTGATGATAATAATGTCATTATTAATATCTGTATTGAGGGAAAAAGTACATACGGTACTGTGCAGTAATCAGAGACAACCTTTTATTTCTTTGATTTCCAGTCAAAACTGCCGTTAAATACAAGTTATTCATTTTCAGTGTCAGAAGAAAATGTAGATTTAATAGAAAATTACACAGAAACCATAGACTAATAATATACAGTTCTCCCATTTGGTAGACTTGCTTTCAGTTTTTAAATCGACAGTTCAGTCTGAGAAGCTGGTTGATGATTTTCTGAAGTAATCAAACACATTCAGTGGTGTTGAGGTCTGGACTCTGGGGTGGTCAGTCCATCGTTCAGCTTCTTTGTTTGATGTGTCCGTCTCCTTTTCTCAGTGAGCTTCTTCTTGACAGCTACACATCCTTTCAGACCCACAGCGCTGAGTCGTCTTCTCACAGTGGAAGGATGGACAGAAACACCTGTGGATGTTTTCAGATCTGAAGCAGCTTGATTTTCTCCTCTCTCTCAGAGATGAAAGCTTTAGGTGCTGTTTATCTGATGGGGGCAGTTTTGGTTAGGAGTCTCATTTTCTTTGAAGCTTTTAGTCACTTTTTTTTTTTCCTTTGGCTTGTCCCAATTATCCACTTGTCTATGCAAGTGGATAATTCTTATCTGATCTCCTGGATTTGTATTTAATGGCTGATTTGGAAACTAAGTGAGTATGGGGTTCTCTGTATTAGTACAAATTAGTATTTGATGACGTGTTGTATTATGAAATTATGTAGGTGATGCTGGTTTACTGTTCCAGTGACTAGATTTTACTTCTTTTACTGCATTTGCAAACTTACATTAATAATACATTTTAATAATAATGCATTTTATTTATATGTAGTTCCTTGATGATGAAAAAACTATTACAGACACAAATAAATCAACTGTTTAACAGTGTTTATTCCTAAAGAATGCATTTTAAGAAGAGATTTAAAACACTGTGAATCGGAATCAGGTGTTCCACAGACATGAAGCAGCAGATGAGAAACAATCCCACAGAATAAATCCTGGTCCTGGCTACTTATAGCAGTTCAGCGCTAGCTGATTGGACGGAGCGAGACGGACAGTAAAGAGATCATGTTTCAGACGTGTGGTGAGGAGCGTCGCCATGTGGTGTCGTGTAGCAAGAAGTAGTACTTTATAAGCAATTCGGTAAAATACGGGTATCCAGTGCAAATCTATAGGTATGAACATAACATGGGTAGATACAGTCGTATGCCAAAGTTTGGGCGCCCCAGCTCATCCAGCCAGCCATCCATCCATCCATCCATCCATTGCTTTACTAAGTGAAAATAAATGAACTCTCTACAGAGAACACACTTCTGCCTATTTTAATTCACAGTTACTGTTTGTTTGCCAAATTTAACATTGAAAAAAAAAACACAAAATGTGGCTTTTGCAAAAGTTATTGTTCATTTAATATTTTATATTTTGCTTTTTCTTATGTTAAACTGTAAAAATATCATACTTAAGTTTGTTCTGTATAGAAATCAACAAAACATACTTTGTCTGGAGGTTTGTGGATGGAATAAGCTCCAATGGAAGTCTGACTATAACATGGTCAGAGTTGAGGATGTGTGTTATTTTCACTTATAAAATCAACAGTACCTGTAATTTGACAGCTGTACTAATGTGGCTCTGGTGGCTGGAGGAAAACATGAAAATTAGGCCAAATAAAAAAAACAACCGTTTAAGTAATCAAGTGACTTTAAATTCATAAACTACTTCTGGACAATATTTCGCTTGTATTGTATGATATTGCTATGGGTGGGCAGTGTAGTAAAAATGCAACATGTATAAGACATTTTTATGATACACAGTGTGAATTATGATTATGGATACAGAAAAAATAAAACAATTCAAAAGCCTGTGCAAAAATAAAGTAATAAATTAAACTGGGCCGTGAACGCGACGCTTAATATGTTTTATTGTTCGCAGTTCCTTCACCAAATTATAGTTCCTTAACAAGCAGCTTGTTGCTACGTCAGAGTAACGGACTCCGCCCACTCGCTGCACAGTCTGCTGTAAGCCTCGCCTTTTGAAGTTCGGACTGAGCCATAAAACTGCCGCAATATCAAGTTCAGCTCAGTTTTGTCAGTTTCTGCCAGATCAGTATTAATGTTGTTTTGTTCCAGCCAGTCTGTAAAGCATCTTACAGCCCATTTAGTTTGGCGAATGGTGTTGGGTTCATTTCTGGCTGATTCCAGGTTGTTCAGCTGTTCTTCTGTCTCAGCTGCCGACTGAAAAGCTGCTCAGTGGTGATGACAGTTTGGGAATTTAGTGTCGTCTCATCTTCAGAGTCTGACCAAATCGGCTGTCGGTCAAATGTGATCTTAAAAGTGTCCATTTTCTGTTTGTGGCAAAGTAAGAAGTAAAAACGTTCAAATGTCTTGAGCGTCTCCTACGGCTGTCAAAGTGGTTGCTTAGCAACAGCATCTCAGCGGAGTGATACAGTGTTTGTGAAAAAAAATGTGATGTTATGGTGAAATAACAGCACAGTTAGAACGCCTCTCAACCAATCAGCTCGCGTGGCCGAAACTAACTGTTGTATAATCCAGATTATATAATCAGGATAACAGTGTGTCTGAAAAGTAGAATCTTTCTTAGTGTTTGTCCCCCTTTTTGATTTAATGACCACCTGCACTCGAGCTGGCCCTCATTCTGATCACTAGCAGTAAAGAAATCCTCTGCTGAGCAGTTCAGATGTTCCTGAATGTCACCTGAACTCAAACTTCAGTGGAAGGAATAAGAATAAAATTGAAAAAAATCTTATAGTTAGTGTCACAAATTCGCTTAAATTTGAGCAGTGAGCAAGAAATTGTACAAAATCTTGAATATTTTTCTTCGTTTTACTTGTCATAACTTTTTTTTTCCCAAAGAAAATTTATTTGATTTATTTGAAATATCTGTTCATTAGTTACTCAGAGATCAGAATGAATCTGAATGCACCTCCTCGGTCTTTATAGGGATTAATTCCCATAAAATCAAGCTAATAAAATCAAAGAAAGTGCTTCAAATACGTGCGCAGTTCGTTTAGTCTGCAGGCCTGTGTGGGGGTGGGAGTACATTTCCATCTCTAAACACTGTTTTGTCTTCCAGGAAAACAAGTTGGCATGACGACTCATCTAGGTGGGTTTATGTTAGATTGATATTGTGCGCTGGTTTTAGTTTAGTGTCAGTTGCTACGCCTCTGGGCTAATCTTGTATTTCGTAATCTCATGCCTCGATGTGTTCCTCATAATGAGAAACAATCAGTCACGTCCACAAAGAATCACCCACTCCCTGAGTCAGAGCTGCTGAGTGGATGGGAAAGATGTGCTTTTCGTCTTTCTTAAAGTACTCTTTCTCTTTCTGTTCACCTTTTTCTTTTGATTAGGTGGCGAATTCTGATCGATATGTTCGAGGAACTGGTTCTTCTGTATCAGAAACACTTCAGTTTGGATCAGAGAGTCTCAGAAACGCCTGAAGTGATAGTGGCCTCAATAGGCTACTCAGCTGCGGGTGCAACTTTATATAATCATGTCTACAGATTTGCTTAGTGATTCATCGCCTTTGTTTTCCACATCAGAAGCAGAGGAGAGTCCTTCTGTATATATAGAGAAGATGCTTTAATTGGGTGGATGGTGCAGATGGGGCTCCTGCATTAGGCTACGTTCACATTACCAGGCTGAAGTGGCACAAATCTGATTTTTTGCCCTAATGTGACTCAGATCTGATGTTTTCAGAGCTGTGTGGACATAAATCCGATCTTTTCAAATCCGACCTGAGCCACTTTCATATGTGGTCCTAGATCGGATACGTATCTGAATCGTGGCCATGCGACC